AATTTGTTGCCAACTCAACAAAACAACAGAACATCGTGGGTTTTGCGCTGGGAAAACCACCACCAAGGGGTCTCCAAGCCGTCAAGTGGGTGCAGGCCATCGACCGCATGCGCCGCGGATCCAACCTCCTGCGTCCCGGCCAATGGGGAAGAGCGGTGTCTAAAAGGATCGATCCACCTTTTGAAGGCTCCCAGTAGGGAAATGGCTCGGCAACCTCACTTTCCGAGTTGGACTTCATGGTTTTTAGAATGGTTTGGACCATTCTAGCGGCAACAAAAAGAGTCCCTGGACTTTCTTTGGCCACTCAGGAAGTGAGTTGTGTGGAAAACATGTTGGATGCGCTCGTGGTTTCTGCAGAGCCCACACTTGGCGCCACTTTGCCGCAAACAGTGGCTTGTCTGACGATTAACACGAGAAGGACCTATGTTGCCTTGCAATCAGGCGGTTTCCGTCAAAGGCCAAAATTTCACTATGTTGGTTCAGTGTTTGCCTTCATTGGCAGGAAGAGAGATGCCGCGCAGTCGCCTGGAATGTGCAGACGCTGACATTGGCGGTACTTTCCATTTCCATGGCTGTGAAGTTTAATGGACCCTTTGAACATCATTTAGGTGGGGATACATGAACCACTTTTGAGGTGGTTCTCCTTTGAAATTCATGGTCACATCGAAATTAGATGGTCATGGGAAGGACACGGGATTCCGGTCTCGAGTCTTACCCAAGACATGCAAGGGCCACTGGCCACTGACGAATAGCAGCGCGTCATTGCCAGCTTCTTGGGAGCGAGGTGAATTTGGGCGAAGCAAGTCTCGCCTGTGTGTATTGTGTATGTGCGGGTGTTGTCCTTGTTCTGGCAGACGGTCAAACACCCCGTGTCTCTTTGACCCACGATACGTACTCTTTCCTGGGACCCAGTTTTCTATTACAGTCGAAGGTAAATGATCACAATGCACACGCTTGAAGCAAGACTACAGGTGGACACAAAAACATGTAGTGCCTCATTCACAGGCCCGCAACTAGTCTGTTGGCAAATGCTACCTCGCGGCCTCAAGCAGCCATACCTTTTATCCCCCAGCCTAGCGCATCGTGTGGGGGTTGTTTCTTGTTTATTTTCTGGCTCAGGAAGCATACGCACTACGGCTTTCCGCACCTCCGGCAATTCCAGGCAGGGAGTCACCTTGGAACCAAAGCAGAATCGATTGATGGGTAAAATGGGAATCTTCGCGGATGTGTGGCTAGCCTGGGGTTTTGCCCAACCCGAAATGCGGCTGAGGATTCGCACACACGTTCGCAAAGGCTTTGGGGTCGCGAGTGCTCGCCTGGGCCATTCGAGTGTACCGAGAGTCTATTAGCCACGTTTTTTTTTCCTGGCATTTGCCTTTTGCAACTGTCCCCGCAAAGCTGCCGCCTATGTTTAATGCCTTTCTCTGCCTCTCCACAGTTCGATATGAAGGGTGAAAAACGTCGTAAGCCGAACATTGGGATACACTCAACGGGCCATTTAGACACGGGTGTCCTCAACGGGCTGTCGGTCAAAACCAATGGTACCATTGTGGGGTAGGTGCACCACCCATTTTAGTCTATTTTTAGTTCAGATTGGGATGTTCACTGGGGAGCGCCGCGTGCGTTTTTTGCTTGCGCCAGTTGAGCGATGACAAGCGGCGCCTCATTTGGTACTCGGGCGTGAAGAGGACCGACTTTGTAAAATCGATGCGGACACTGAGGATAGAGTTGGGTGAAAGATGGCACACTTTCCGCCATTTGGGTACGGGTGAAAATTCGGCCACCAGGGGACCACAAGTTTGGTCCTTGGTTCCATTCACCAGGGCTCCATTTTGGGCACCGATTTTTGCTACACCCATTTGGGTTAGTCTTCGCGTGAGTTGCGCCAGCAACTTTACCCTGGTCTGTAGGTCTGTGGGGCCCTCCTTTTGAAGCCATCCAAACATGGTTCCAAGTTTCGGCACATGCCCATTTGCTCAGCCCGCTCTGGCCCCCAAGTGCAGATATCTGCTCATTCTTGATTTGCTTAGCTTGAGGGCTGCAGGTTGAATAGGGTGACAGTTTGCTTCTTGATTTGTGTGTGTGAAGGCCGTGGTCGTGGACAATTGTTAGTTTTAGATCGCCACTCTCTGCTTCGGAATCGAAGGAAGGTATTCGATTCAGACTAACGCTTTCCGATCGGATTGCTTTATGCCCGAAGTTGGGATGTTGCTTTGCAGGATTCCCGTCTACATGTTGTTTCCCAAAACTTGTCAGGCACGCATTTGCAGGGCATGGAGCTGGTCACTTGGACAAGGGGTATATCTGCCTTACAAACTGACATTGGTGGAACGAGTGTGGTATACAAGCCTGCATACCTGCAAAGCCTTTGCCTGAACATAGAGCAAATGCTCACGGGTCGTTGTGATCACGGGACACCTGCAAAAGCGCGGGGCTCCTCAGCCTCACTCCGTGTCTTCGGCGCACGCAGCTGCGGGGACTCGGAGCGGCGTGATATGTTGACGGTTGATTTCTTGGATTTCTGGAGATGTGTTGTATTAACTTAGGGTAGGCATGCTTGTTTGTTGTTTTGGAAGGGCAATGACTTGACCATGGATGTCCAGGTGCCGACGTTGGCGATTTGTATGCCCTGGGGTTCGGGGGCCTTAAAAAGAAAGGCCTTTAGGAAGCGGCCGTGAAATGTGGGGAACCTCCTTTGTTTGCAAGCTGGACGCTTTTAATTGGGTTCACCGTTTTGTGTTGGCCGCATTAGTAGCCACATGACTTTGCAGCGCTTGTGGCTGAAAAGTACGCCTTCCAAAGCCTCGCGAAAACCATGTAGACATGTTGAAGCTGGTCAATGCTCAAGGTCTTCAACTTTGTGGGATTTCTAGAGACATTGATCATGGGCTTAGCAATGGGACATCGACAAGTGAAAATACTGTGAAACTGGCGTGAACGCCCTTGTTTTGCAGTGAAACACCGTGAAATGCCGTGAAATTTGGCAGGCGAAAAACCACTCGCATTCGTCCTGGCTGGCGTTGTTTTCTGATGGGTTTGAAAAGGTTCTGCTGAATGGATGTTTCGGAAAGACATGATTGTTCCATTGATGATGCAGAAATGTGCTGCTTTAACGTTGAGGCCTTCGCAAGTCTAGCTTGGTGTGGAAAAGGCTTGTTGCTGACGATGTAAAGTTGGAATTCGACCCAGGCCCCCATCCCCCAGCTAGTCAAACAAAGGATGTTAGTGTACCGGCCTTTGTTTTAAAAGCCTTTTACCCCCCAAGGTATGCAGTTTAACTGCAGAGCACCCAGGCCTCGCGATTTGACGCGTTCAAGCTGGAGACTCCCGATTGGTTGATGTCCTAATGTGACACTGGCAACACCTTGCGTAGGGCGCGGGGGGACGTGAGTTCCATTCCCCAACGAACTGTATGGCAATTTGACCCCTCCAAAGGCCCCCGCTCGAGGGTTATGGGGGTCAATGAACCTTGGGCAAGATCAGGCAAGGCCCGAACGGGTCGTATGTTTTTGGATCCTCGTTGTTTCGGAGGAACTTGCTCGGCAACAGAGACTCGCAATTGGACAAATCCTCGTAAATCCTTTCTTTGTGCGGGTGTCACAATCATCTTTTTTCACTCTTACCTCTAGATCAAGTAGAGTCCCTCCCGTATTCTTCCATTTGCTCAAGGTGAATTCCTTTCTGTTTTTGTTGGCTGCAACAGCATGTGGCCCTGCCTGGTAAATATGATTTTTTTGGTAGCACCTCGGGCAGATGAAGGGCATGTTGACTTCTGAATCCGGATACCTAGCAGAAGGGTGTCTCTCGCATTCACGCGCCGCAGGAAAGAAGACTCCTTGGTGAACCTGGACGAGGCGGAAGGTTTCTGGAGCGCGGACAAAGGGATTCCAGTTTTTCAGTGGGGAGCATTTGTGTGGCTCATATGGCTCTTCAGCATTCCACACATGGGTCCGGTTGTCCTTTTGGGAGCCCCTCTGTTGGTTGTAAAGGGAAACCAAAAGCAACACCAGCTTTTTGTGGCCCGGATTTGGAAGCAAACCCACATGTTTCCGGACAGGTTTCCGCCTCCAGGAAGTTAAGCAAATGATTTGCTTTTGGCTGGTGTGTGGCTAACTTCCTCCATATTTTCCTTGCGCTTGCTTGTTAGAGTATAAGAGCTTTAAAGTCCATGTTGGTGGGAGACAATAAGTTCAAGGCGACGCTGTCCGGGTGATGGAAAGACGTCATGGGTTCTGACTTGCCCGGTTGATTCCAAAAACATTGTAAGTAAACACCAATTCCAAGACATGCTCCGCTACCAGTTTGTACTTTTGCGTACATGGAAGGAACACTTAGGGAACAAGCTGCAGATGCGTTTATCGTTCCTGGATCCTGAACTAGTGATATGGGAGGGTACGCAAACTGCCGGACTGAACTAAGCGTTTTGTTCTTTCCACCTTTCAGGTGGTGGAAATCAAGCTGGGCCAGCAGACGCCGGTGTTCCTGCACTATCGCGGCCTTGGCGGGTTTTGAATCAAGCTCTCACTTGATATGCAATCAAACCAGGTAAGTGAAGGAAAGTAGGGGACAGTCCAAACCGAACATAAAAGAGGGTACGGCCAGAGGCCGGCTGATTCTTAACATGCTTTCGGGTTTTCTCTTCAAAGCCAGGTTTTGAGGTTTTGATCTCAACTCGCTTGTAAGCTCAAACCATCTCTTGAGTGTTTGTTGGGTGTCTTCCCTGGTTGACTAAGACTATCATTGGTACTGCTTTTGGGAGGACGGGTGACCATCCAGCATACCGGCAAAAGCTACGGGGAACACCGACATTTCCCTCCTATTGCGGAATCAAGTACTGCCCTCGAAACTATGGCATCACACAATTGGTCATGGATCCTGTGCATAGCGGTGTCAAAGCCAGCATAGGGATTCGTGTCCGGTGTCAAGCGAGATCTTGCAAGTGTTGGCCATGTTGACTACACTTTGTGACACACGTTACCCTCCTAGCAACTAACATGGTGACAGAACGTGGTCAACCAGGACCTCCCGAAAGTCATGTTGCATATTAATTGCTCGGATGGCACTGTTGAATTGGCCACCTACCAACTTGTTGGGCTGCCGGGGGGGGGGCGGGGGGTTTGCCCGGACCGAAAGACGGTCACTCTTGGACGTGGGTTCGGACTTGTGCAATCCTATGCGAAGCGCAGTGAATCGTGGCTCTGGTGGGATCACACTTGCTGGCAGAACTTCCGTTCCTGCTCGGTACTGCGAGCACAGCGGAGACAGCTGGGGAGTCGGGATCGACTAGATTGAAACACCTCGACTTGCTGGAAACATGGACCCGCGTTCTTTTCATCCCCCCCCCCCCCGTTCCCTCCCCCCCCTCAACAGCTGCGAGCACGCTGAGGATCGGGCAGCATGAGAAGCCGGGCAAACCCCTCCGTCAACCCAACTTGTTGTTTGGGTTTGCTGGTCATGTCGGTGAAGTGTCAAGCGCTTGGGCCCTTTTTCCGGCAGGTCGTACAAGTCTTCTCCACGCAACTTCATTAATCGGCAACTAGGTGGCTCGATTGTAGTAAGCCAATGTAAGCCGTTGTAGTTGTAAACGTCTTGGAGCCCACCATCAATGGCTTTTGGGCGTGTCTACGTGGGTATTTGTCAGAATGGACCCTCAAAAATGTGATTTTGCTTTTGGTTTCACACGCACACATACACACACACACAGGCACACACATGTGCCAACTGTACATGCCAAAGCTGGCGGGGCATTGCCAGGTCTGCCGATGCTGGAGCACCTGTCCTTCTCGATCATCTACGGGCCCAAGGGCGCTGCGTGGATCTCAGATAAGGGTTTACCCGAAAGGGTTTACCCTCCCACCTTTCACATGCATGGAGCCTGACAGGGACCCCGTCTCCCTAAAAGGAAAGCTCGGACCCCCCGAACGTCAGTGGCAGGATGCCTGTTGGCCCTCTCAGTTGGCGCAGACCCATATAACACGAAAAACTTTCGCGGTGCTTGTTCTGCTGGTGTTGCTCCTATTTGGGGGCTCCGAGGGCTCAGCTGTTGGCAGAACCAGGGGCAAAAACGTGCTGCTTCCCGAGCCGCTCGAGAGGCCAAACAAACTGCCCCCAAAGTGAGGGGTACATGGTGAGAAGCAGTTGAAAAGGGATGCTTATTGAGTTGGCAAGCTGCAAGCGTTTGTCGCCATATTTCTTCAATGTTTGTAGTGCTCTTCGCAGGTCATAAACTCACCAACAGAGATTGGGGGTTGATGGAGTACGCGGTGGCATTTACGTACAGCTGTTTTGTCAAGCTCCATTGGTCTGTATTCCCCTTTTTTAAGCAACTGGATGCGACCTGCAACACTGCCAACCAGACCATTCGTGTTTGCAGGAATGGTCGGACCCGTGTGGATTTCGTTCGGGTCATTTGACAACTCAGGACCAATACGGATCCTATGGTCCAATGGTTGTCGAGGCCCCCGAACTTTGACAAAGGGGTGGCGACATCCGGTTCCATGGATCTAAGGTTTCGTCTCCTTTCGGGAAGCAATTCCTTGTCAAGTTCCCCGTCAAGCGGATGCTGGACTTGCGCTCAGAAGACGCTGGACCTGACCTGCAAAGACGAGTTCGAGTTCGACCACTGGGTCACCGGCCTGAAAGCTATCTTCTACCAGATGCAGGCAAAACCCGGAATTCCATCATACAATTGAACATAGGGCAACCTCTTTGAATATCACGGACAGTCGTGTACCGTGTCCTTTTGTTTGGGGGGGGGTTGAGAAACTCTTCCCAAGGCTTGAGCCCAAGTTGCCTGCTTAAAACAACGGGCGGGGGAGAGGGGGGTCCGGGGTGGGGGTGGGCTTTTTTGGTTTCCCCAAAGCAAAGATCCTGTCAGAAATCGAAGACCCTTGTGGATGTAACAATGGCACTTCAATCTGACTTTGAGCTCGCTCGCAGCTTCTAAACTCATCAGTTTGTCTTTTTCTGCACCAAAAAGCCTTCTTTCATTTCCCTTTCAAGCCCGGGTCCGCAGAAAAAGCAGCACACCCATTTCTCCCCGCGCGCACGCGCTCGTTTTTTGACGTCTTCTTTGCGCAGAACAAGCAGATCTCGAAGGAGGCGCTCCTGGCGCACTCCAAGCGCTTCCAGAAGGCCGCGTCCGGCTGAAGCCCGACGTTTCGGTCGGAAGCTGAAGGGAGGCTGAAGGAAGGTCCGGTTTGGCCGGGTTGATGGCATTCTCTTTTTTTTTCGTGTTCCCCCCAAACTGGGAGTCGAACCTCCTTTTTGGATGGTTTTAGAAGGAAACCAAAAGGAAACCACCTGGAGGGGTCCCTGTTTTCGAGAAACACACACACGTGGGGAAGACTAGTCTATGTTGAAGCCAGCTCTTGGCACCCCCCGGGAAGAATTGTGGCCAGTTGAAAACGCCTGAAGCGCCAGTTCGCGTGTGAGGGGTCATCTTTTTCGAAAGTATCCGAACACATCCGTTGATAGAATCTTCTGCAAAGGACTCTATTACCTCCGCGCCAAAAAGGGACGTACCCTTGATTCCTACGGTTCTCTGGAGTAATCCAAGGTCACTGCCATCCTGCAAACATGGACGTGCACAAGCTCCTGGTTCAAGAGGGCGGTCGTTTTTTCAGCGAAGGGTTCTTTCACATTTGGTGGGAGGGTACCTTGGCGAAAAAAGCAGCCCGAAGTGCAGGGTTCCACTTGATATGGATTCTACAGGTCTTGCAAGAAAGGACTGGGACACATCACCAATCATGGCACTGGAAAATGTCAAAGTCTGCTTTGGGGGCCATGGCGAGGGAAAGAGGAGTGTGAGAGAAAGAAAGACCAAAAAGTCACCAACAACACGCACCAAGCAGACGCCACATTGTGAGAAGCAACAAGCATCCGATCATAGAATGAGATACTGCTTTGGTCAAATGACAGCACTCGAATTCCTCCTTGACTTGGTTGCTCTTTGGTTTGCTGTCCTTGGCCATGGCTGTTTGCACCACCAGACAACCAAACGTTATTCACTTTCTGAAGTTAGTTGAGGTGTGAAAGCCTCTACTAATTACCATGGAAGATAATTTCAAGGGCCAGTAGCTCGGCCGCCCACGCACGAGGTGTGGCTGGGGACTATTTGCCTTTGGATCGACCTTTGAACACTTTCGGGGAATATGACTGTTTCTCCACTCTCCGGACCAGCAAACGTGTTTTCTCGCGTGAAATTTCACCCCAGTATCAGGTAAGCAGAATTGGTTTTGGATTGGTGGGGTTTGAGCCCTTGAGGTTTTCGGCCTGGAACCTACCAGGGCCCAACCTCCAAACCACCGGTTTCAAGCAGTGCCGGAGGCCATGGAGAAGAACAACGTGGGGCCGGGCGCCCCAAGCCGTGGAAGGGGGAGCCGAGCACATGATTCAGGTGGTGCATGTCCACCAACCACGTTTCAGGTGGTTCCTTATTGAAACTGATACCCAACTGTGTGTTTGGGTTGCCACTTTCGTTTCGGTGGCCCAAGAAACGTTGACAACCTTTTGGGGGTTTACTGTGGATATCTCCCACATGGCCCAGGAAAAGAAGGCCCACAATTGGGGTCGAGAGCTTTCCCAGTGCATCAAGCAGGGGTCACTGGATTTCCCCGAATCAAAAGTTGATCAATTCATTGGTGGTTTCCATTGAAGCTATTGCCACTTTTGGTTCTTCCAAAACAGGCCATGGCTCGGAAACCCTGTCAAGGGGGTCTTCCTGGAGAGACGGAGATCGACACGGGGCTCTGTCCGATTCCTGGTGCGACCTCAGCTTCGTTTCCATGAGCTGCCGGGAAGCCACCCACGACAAAGGCCTGTGTCCAGCGTCAGCTCTTTGCCGGAAGCAACAAAAACGCGCTTGTTTTTTGTTTTGTCTCCCTTTTTCTTTAAAAAAACACACACACACACACACACACAAAAACATATATGCGCAAGGGTGAGGCGCCTCAACGTCGCAGATGGGAGAGCGGCGTCCGAGCACCCTGGAAAAAAAACAGGAGGTAAATCGGCATTTGTGCTTGTGCGGTGATCCCCCCGTCTCCGCTTGGTCGGTGGTGGGCGGTATGGGGCTCTATTCCCTGAGATGTCGCTGCTCAAGCCGGAAATTACCATCGATCCCCAAGACATGACTGGGTGTGTTTTGGGACCCGTATTCGCATCACCGATCCTCCGTTGTCCGACCTACCAACATGCCACGTGCGTTTCCTGGTTCATCTGCAGGCTACGGGAGGTTTTCTCTTTTTTCGGGATTTTCCATTTGAGACTCCACCAAGGACCAAAAAGGACACCCTCTTTGGAATTCGCCGAAGGTGATGTTTGTTCCCAAGGGAGACATGGGAACCTCCTCTCGGCACCCAGGATCAAGCTAACCAAGCTGCCGGAGGTCAAGGAGAAGGCAGGATGGTGCAAAGGCCAGAAAGGCAAGAAACGGAGCTCAACTTGGGTTGCTATCTCAGGTATATGGGTCGCTCGTGGCTGTTGGAGTTGGTACCCCTTTTTGGTGGTTTTAAAGGGAAACCAACAGCAAGACCACCATCTTGTGGATGTAATCAAGCAAAAGACAAACCCAAGTAGCCATTAGTTGGTGGATGTTGGTGGATGTTGGTGGATGTTGGTGGATGTTGGTGGATGTTGGTGGATGTTGGTGGATGTTGGTGGATGTTGGTGGTTTAGAGTGGTGGTTTGGGATATTTCACTTCCCTGCTTTTGAGGGTAAACGGGAACTTGCCGACCTCCAATCCGCCAATCCAAACGCGGTCTCAGTGGCGCCACTGGTGCACAGATCGGAGCGGCGTTGCTCGACGCATGTTCGTCGCATCCAGAAAATTGGATGGACAGTGACACAGGGCTTTAAACCTAGACCTATGGCCCAGCTCGCAGTCATCCAGCAGGTGGTCCCAATTTGTTTGGTGGGTTCCCTTCGGACCCCCGGAAGGGTTTGCTTTGGCAAGGTCACTCATTGGCACTGGGTATGGTTTTCTGGTGCCATGGGGCCAACCCCCGACCACCATGTTCTAACTTGCAACTTAGGCCGGAAGTTCGGGTCTTGTTTTGGTTTGAGCAGGGGTCCTGTGGCACCACGAGTTCTGGTGAGATTCCCACTGCCTCACTCCAACGCATGCCTTCGATCCCACCAGGTCCCTAGGCAAGCCTTGTTGGAGAACCCCTCAACCCCTCGCCCATTTGCACTTCCGGTGCTTTTCGTGGAAGACCCGGAGGGTGGACATTGATCCCTGCCCCTGGATCACTTCATTCCACGGAAGACATGATTTTTGCAGGCGAATCCTGGTGTTCGCATCAGGTGATGCCGTATTTTTCCGAGTTGGTTTTAGAGTGATTCTATTTGCTTAAGATGATGTTTGAATTTCCCAGTTTGTTCTTTGCGGCCATGCCTGTCTCTTTTGCTTAGTACCTTCACCACCGTCTACTCCCCACCAGGACCACTCCGATGTTTTGGGGCTTGGAAGGCTGCATTCGCAACTTCAGCAAAGAGAAGGTTCCGGTCGAACTGTCGGTCGGTCGGGTCAACCCATAGCCACCGAACAGGGCCACGTGGGCCTCGACGACTGCATCGAGATCGTGACCCACACTCCGCCTCGAGACTGAACAAAGGGGCAGCAAATCGCATCGCCGGGATTGTCTTAAAATGGGGGAATCCCAAAACAGGTTGTCTTCCTTGGTGTCCATTTGGGTTTCCTGAAAGAACAAGAGCCAACAGATCAAAAAGAGCGTGTCCCAACTTCCATGGGGTTTTTCCAATGGACCTTCAACATGTCTGGCTCCCTTCGGGTTTTCCACGTTTTACACACTGGGCAAATTAGCTTCCGGCGGAGTAGACAGTTTTTGGGTTCCCGATGTTCCTGTTGGTGACTTCCAACAGCACCATTTTGGTGGCTAGTGCAAAAGCAGCTTGCTTTTGACGCGGGGATGTTTTTGGATTGGAGGTATAATTGGCACCCTGCAGTGTGTTGAGCCCTGGGATTGTTTGGCAGATGCCTCATGCCAAACCTTGGATCAGAACCCCCTTTTCGAGAAGCTTTCCTTGACACTTTTTCCGGGGATTGTGGGGGTAGACGGGGCCGTTGCTTTTGCTCGACGTTGGAGATCTAGACAACCCAGTCCCAGTTTTTCCTTGGCCAAGGCAGCAGCTGGATACCAAGATGGAGCGCCTCAGAGAGAGGCTGAAGAGCATGAGTCAGCAGGCAACCGGAGAGGGAGTGGGGACATGCGAAGGGATGTCAACAACGCTGCTGGGGGATTCCCCAGAAAGGACAATGCAACTATCTCCAACTCCTTAGAGCTGAAATCGGGTCACGCCCTGTGCATTGTATTTATGGTTCCATTTCTCCGGCGTGTGCAAGTTGCTCTCATTTTGATTCGGTGGATTCGCGAAACATCGCAAGCAGGCAACATGCAAACGTGCAAGTTTCCCTGGTGTGTGGTTGGTATACTTGCAATACTTATATAGGGAGTCAAACTCTAGTTTCATTAATCAGCGCGGAAGTCCAGTGGTGAAAGCAGAATGCAGCGGTTTCCCTTTGGAATCCTCTACCAAAATAGATGCTTGTTCTTTTCCATGGCCACTCTGGGTCAAAGGCATTTTGGGATCCAGCGTGAGTCGGGCGACTTGCAATTTTCTTCAACCGACCACAGGTGTCCCGGCTAGACCATCACTCAGCCGCTGAGATGGAGGCGAATGGACGGGGCCGTTTTCGAAGCCATGACCGGCATCGGGGTCTTCCGATGTTCGCTTAGGCATCAAGCGGGCATAAATTTGAAGTTAGGGACCCTTTCGTGGACACCATTTGGTTGGCGATTCATGTCCACCAACCACTTTTGTTGAGGTGGTTCCCTACTAACATTCATAGCCATGCGGGTGGTTTCTTTAGGCAGACTTCTGGTTTGTCGACCGCAATGCTGCCCTAAACAGGATTGCTAGAAGTAGAAGAATTCTAGAGACCATGGGTCCAGCACTACGTCAATTCTTGACAGTTCTGCTCCCCAGGCCCTCGGGGGCAGCCATGGTGGATTCCCCAACTTTGGCGGGTAAGGGACAAGGAGCCCCCACAAGTTCGGACTTGCGCTTCCAACATGTCCCTGGCTTTGACGCCCCATGTAGAATGTGTCCCTTTGGATTTCATCCATTGCGTCCCTTTGGATTTGTGGTTGTCGTACTGGTATTGTTTGGGATTTCGATCCGCTGCATCTGAGTTGCTTGAAGGGTTGTGGAGCTGAATTGTGTCACAAGTCCTACTTGAACCCTCCGCTGAGTTTCCGCCGTCTTTGTGCTGCTTCCGGTCGTTTTTGACACTTGACACTTGTGTGTGAGGGAACGTCCTGCAAGCCAACCATGCATTTGGTATGTGCAGAGCATATTTGGGGCCCTGACCAATGACCCATGTGATCTCCACGAGAAGTTGGCCAAAAGGATGTTGGAAAGCATCTGAGCCACAAGGGTAATTGAAGTTTAGTTGGGAGCAGTCCCAAAGCCGTCAAGTGGTGTGGCAAGAAGCCCTTGTGATTCTTTGCATGCTTTTGGGTAAACGACTGTCCTTGTGATACCAGGTTTTTCCTTTTGAATCAGCAGGTCCAGTCTTCTTCTACTGGTATTTGCTTATAAGATGAGTTGGTTTCCCTTGTCTTACATGGCAATGGCCATGACCGGGCCTTGTTTTCTTTTGGCGCCTGAAGTCGGAAGTCCAGGCCTGGGTGGCACTTGGGTGTTACAAGAGGCCAGCTCACTGGTTAGTGACCTACTCCCCTGCAGATTGACATGGACCCTCCAAGACATCATGGTCACAGGCATTCCCATTCGAGGGACCCTGTTTTGTGGTTTTATGTGAATGGGCAGGGAAAAGGTTTTCGTCATGCCCCAAGTTGTGTTTTCACCATGGCCGCTGACCCGTGTTGGGCAGGTGGATCTCTCGCTGCTTACGGGCCGCGTGCTCGGGACAGCCTTTCTATACTTCTCGCAAGCACATTTCGCTGTCTGTTTCATGGTATCACTCTGCAGGTCCTTCATTGGGGATGTTTTTCTTATTTCAGGTGGTAGAATTGAAACAGATTCCCACATGGTATTCGTCATTCGGGTCGTGTCAGACACCCCCCCCCCAACCAACATGAGACCATGAGACCTGAGGTTTCATGCAAGCGACTCTTTATTTTCAAGAGTCAGACTTTGGGGCTGCTTTGTTGGACTCAACTACTAGGGTGCTTCAAGAGGAAATAGACCAAACTCGACCCAAACACGCGGGGATGGTATAACCCCCTGGTTCTGGGTGGGTCTGAACTTGCACCATCCACCTGCGGCCTTTTGCTCAGGCCAGGGCCCTGCGTATGCGAGTGTCTTTGTCCAAGACGAAGATGCCCAGGAGAGCGAACGCCCCCAGAATGGAAGCAGTCATGCCGGAAAACTCACTTTGGAGCGTACCAATGAGGGCAAGCAACTCCGCAAACATGAAATCATTCCCAATAAGAGAGGAAGCGCCCCTGATCAGTATGGTCCTGGGGACTGATCCCAGATTAACATTGCCGGATTTGGGGGTTAGATGAAGTTGCCCCCTCTTTGATGTTTCCCTTTGGGTTGGGACATATCCTCTTTGGTTTTTGGTTTACCGTTTTGGCTTGACTTCCATTGGTTTCCTTTTGGGATGTTTAAAGGTTTCCTGGTTCCCCCTTTTTGTCGGGCTTCTCTGCGGTGTTTTGGGTTCTCCGCGTCCGGTTGGTGACGAGGCGTCAGACCTCAGATGCCCAACGCAACGCGTCTCGGGGTGTCTTTGCAAAAATGTGGTTGTGAGGTCCCGTGCCGGAATCGATGGGGTAGCTCTTGACTTTGGGATGGCAACTCACTAGCGACCCTTGGGGAGTCTTCTAGGGGACTTTCATCGTTTGTGTGGAACATATGACTCGACTTACACAATTGGTTTAATACAATACATGGACAAAATCTTGCACCACCTAAGCAACCCTGGAATTGTGATTTCCCTGTAAATACCAACAAACAATGGCTTCCCTTGGTTCCATCTCGTGGTGCAAAATGGATTTCGTCCACAGTAGCTAGGGAAGCCATGGGAGGGAGTGGTCCAAAATCGTGTCTGGCCCCAAGTCATCTGTAGTCACGAATAGTTATTAGGTTGCAATGGTTGCTATGGCGGAATCAGTATAGAACATTTACGCCGTGCGTGTGGGCATGTGTCAATCTAGGGGGACCCACCAAGATGTAGGTTTTCGTTTTGGTTTCCCTTCAAACCAAGATATGATGAAGCTTTTGTACCCTCAAAGCAATACACACACACCCACACACACCTTTTCCCATGTGGTTCCCTCGGGGCTCGCAACCTGTTGCACCAAACCCATCCGCAGATTCGCAGGACGAGGAGATGGAGATCCGGCGGATGCACGAGTTGGTGGAGCAAACCACGCAGGTGCTCCAGCAGGAGTGGCTTCGTGGCTTCGTGGCTTCGGCTCGGGGGGGTGTGGGGGGAGGGATGGGTCGTGGTGGGTGGAGACTTGGGGTCGGTGTTTTGTAAACACCGTCTGACTTGTCTGGGGTCTCCCAAAAACTATTTCGGTATTTGAGGGTTGCTGGATCCTGAAGCCTTGTTTCCTGTTGGGATCCAAACGGCTACCCTCGTGAACAAAATACTTGAGGAGCCTCACCCTTCCACCCAAAAACGTTCAACCTGACCAAAGGGAACCTGACCAAAGGGTGGTTTGGACCATGACTTGGAGTACCGTGGGAAGGAGGGTAACCGGCCTGGTTTTGAGAGAGTAAGCAAATGAGTTTTGTAGGAGCAAATGAGAAATGTGACATTTGTTCGACTCTCTTGCCCGAAGCAGATGATAGTGAATGCAGTGAATGATTCAGGAACCCTACAACCCTAAACTAATTTGAACCTCGTTCTTGAACAACAGGAGAACCAACCCCCTACTCCTCCAACTAAATTAGGGAAAGCTGATTTTGTTCTTTGCAGATGCGGCCTTTCTTTGTCAATGTTCAAAGGACACGGCCGTGACTTTTCGTGACAGCAAATGGTCTCCAGTCTTGCTCGACAGGCCCGGAATGAGCTCATCGCCCTCAACCAGAGACAGAGATCGGACAGCGCGGGCAGCACCGAGGCCCCGAGACCGTCGAGTTACGTGGATCTGGGTTCCGTAAAGCACGGCGGCGGGTGGTTTCTTTGGATTTGAGGATGTCCTTTTTCAAACTCGGGTATCCCTTGATTGTGGTTGGGATTTGGTGGTTGGGATTTGGATTTGAACCCCTGGTTCTTGTAGAGGGTACATGGGGAGCAGCTGCCCTTAATCACCAAACCACCAATCCAAACCTCCAATGTGAGGGAATCTGGTTTTAAGCATTTTTTTAAGGGGTATGTTACGGTATGTTTTGGAAAGTGCAACATGGCGTCCAGATTTTCGCAAACGAGCAAGTAGGCCCCCCACAAACCAAAGCCGCAAGGGAGGTTTCTATCACGGGGTGCATCTGAAATTCCTCCCTGCTGTCAGCCGGAGAAAGAAGTGGCAACAGGTTACGCTCGCTGGGATAGATGGGGCGATGGATGAGACAGCCAAATCCCACACTTTCTCTGCGTCCACCTCACCTACAAGCCCGTTTGCATAGCATGAGTGTTAGAGGGGAGCCAGTTGAGAGGTGAAGCTTCACAGAACGGTTCCTGTCGCTTTGTACGGAGGCTGTGCTCGTCGAGACAGAAAGGAGGATGGGCTCCCTTTTGCCAACCCAACGAATCAACGATTCGCGGCCCACACAGCGCAGGCCAAGGCAAAGAAGAAGGAGACCGCCGCCTGCAAGGTGCAGACGAGCGGACAACTTGACATCTGGGGATGTTTGTCGTTCTATATAGGTTCCGCACGAAAAAAAACAGCACGACGCCTTGGACGGCGCTCCCCCAGAACGTGAAGCATGATTGGTGCTGTTCATGTTCAGCTCTCTTGTTTCCTGCTTTAGTTGTTCCTCTTTGGTCCTGTGGATTGTTGGAAGGCTGCAAAGAAGCACCTGTTTTTTTGACAGAAGGGGCATCCCGACCCCCAAAGAATTGTATGGAAAGGCGGGGACTGGGCCTCACGCCTTGATCTTGGCGAACCTCCTTTTTTGTGTTTCCACCCACCTGTTCTTTTTGCGCTTTGCTTCGGGCCCCCAGCCTGCGCAGCCGTTGCCAGCACATCGACCAGCTCCTCTGGAAGGCTGAGGTGGATCTCGAGAACGTGGCCCGGCTGACTAGCATGTAGAATGTTGTCAACCCAACATCGGTCGAAGGTACTTTGTCAAAAGTACCCCTCCTCAACAAAAAGGGGGGGTGCAAGTGCTTTCCCCTTTGGAGTCAAGCAACAGGGTGGGGAGCCCAAATCAGCCCTTCATAAGGCCTTAAGGACTGAAAAAGGGCTTACTTTTGATGGTTGTTGGGAAACATTTTACATTTCTGCTTGTTGTGGTTTAGTGGTTGAAATCCCCATTTAACTGCCGAAATTCTCAAATTGTTGCTCCCCTTCCAACGTCAACCATGTTTACTTGGGCTCCCTCCCTCCCCACTCCCTCCCCCGCTCCCTCCCTGAGCCTGCGTCGCTTCCGCGGGCTCAGGTGGAGGACATGTACGTGAGGCCGGGTGGCCCGGGCTGGACTCGGAACACCGAAGCACTCGGCGGGGGCCGAGTTGCTTGGAGCAACCGGTGCCTAGGCCTAGGACATCGTATAAGTATCGGTGCGTATGTGCACAGGTGTATACATATGTAATATCTTACATAGGTATATATATATACATGTATATGCAGAATAGTTATTTATACGCAGGTGTGTCTATATAGATATATATGTGTTGATTTGCACATACGTACATTGACATATATATATATAGATACATTTAGTGGTTTTTCCCTGTCAGTGCTAAGCACATATCCTCTGAGCAAGCATGACATTGTGAAGACTACAGTCTTTGTCGAAGTTGCTTCACCATGTGAGGCCATGTATCCTCAGGAATAGATGAACAGCTTTGTGTCATATCCACGTCCCCCCGGCTGCTTGTACCCGATTAGTTCTCTTGAGAATCAGGAGTTGTGTTGGACAACGGTTGTGCAAACATATGCTTAATACACACATGGGCATGTTCAAACAGGGACCCAAATGGAAAGACAATCCATGACGTTTGGCAGACTGGCCATTGATTGGAAATAGATGGGTTCCACTGGTTTCAATGGGTTTTGTTCCATTTACCCAGGGCCATCTATTTTTCCAACTGGTCACCTATGCTTGGAAGGCGGAATTCCTCCAGTTTGGGACTTGACAACGAAGATCGCAGTGGTGCAAGACAAACACTTTTCGATCAAGGTTTTCTGGTCAAAGCCGTCAGAAATGGAGACGGCTGGCCCTTTCAACCCAACTTGTTGGAAGTACTCAACAAAGGCGAAGACTGAGTTGAGCTTCCATTCTCAGTTCGTGCTTTGCCAAGACAATGCCACCAGCGCAAATGCCCAAATCATCAGCAAACTGAAGCTTTTGTCTCTGGCCACGGTGACCCCCCTATCTTTCCACTAATGGAAAAAGACAGCGCTGCATCTGAGGCGTTCCCCTCTAAATTCCAAAAGTTTAAGAGTGTCAGAGCTGACTCTCTTCGGGGCCCAAACTTTGACGCAAGAAAGGGTAGATTTGATGCTTCCGGCCCTGGCAAGTTGTGAAAGGGTTTTTGCGCCGGGATACCGGAACGTTTCCTGACCCAGGTCTCTTGCCACAAGCTTTTCGGGGACTACTTTAAATCGACTTTTGTCCGGCAGAGCTGCCTCCTTGTCCTCAAGAGGCTAGCCGGTGGGTTTCCTTTTAGGTTCCCCTTCAACTTCCAGTTTGGGGCGCCACAGGCTCACCTGGATCTGCGGAAAAAATATCCATAGCTGGAGGGAAATCACCTTGGTGTGCTTTGACAAACTTGCTTTATCCTCGCTTTCCAGTTCGCAAAGTTTGATTGGGTTTCCTGCCGGGGGTGATATCATGGGGAAGTACAGGAAACCTGGTCGCCCCTTCACAGAGAAGAGGGCTTATGCCGACCTCGGTGACTGGAGCCTCAGGGTGATGGACGTTCTCAGGGCAACTGGACACCCTGCGCCTAAGCTTTCGCCTCAAAAAGGGCTGCGAGTCCCACAGGCGGAAGGGGGGGGGTTCTAGCACTGCATGTCTACGCGTGGGCGTGTTTCGTTTTTCGAGGGCCCACAAAATCGTGGTTTTCCTCTTGCTTTCCCTTTGAAACCAACCTAAACATCGACAAACCCAATTGGAGAAGAGCGGAGGGAATGCGTTGCACCGTCCAAGGCACATGGACAACCAGAAGGACACCTACTCTCTGGGCGCGCCTTTTGGTGCGATCGATTTTGAGCTGCAAACGCTTGGCCGCTTGGTTGGTAGAGCTGATTCCCTATGTATTGCATGGCAAGAAGGGAGTCTGGATGGACATGAACCAAGGGATTATGGGACAAGTACCTATGTACAGTATAGAGGGGTTGATCAGTATTCCTGGCCCTAAAATGACCATGGGTAACTTCAAATTTAATTGGAAACAACATCTTTTTAGTGGCTTCCCGAGAGCCTATCCCTTACCAGCCGTTTCACGAGCTGGGGATGGGATAGGAAGTGCTGTGTCTATAGGTGAGTCTCTGTGAGCGGCGTGTCCTGTCTGTCATTGTGGCTTCTCTCTGGCAGTCCCAAAGTTCAGTAGGATGTCCGAGGCAGGCCACATTTAGATGTATGCAGAATGATATGGGTGCCAATGGGTATGTGGTTTCTTTTTCTTAAAGGTCCTTTTCAGGCTTGGTTAAAGGGACACCAAAAGGAGCACCAAGATCCATTTTCCGGGTCACCCTATTTTGACACATACCCATATTCTGGGCGGCTTAAATGGAATTGTTGCTCCTTTGTGGTTATTGAATAGCCATTATGGATTTGCTTTTGCATTGGAGGTGTGTAAGGCATCATCCTACCACCAATGGGCCAGAAGCGGCGGCTGACGGAAGAAAGGGGCTCTTGTAAACGACGGTTGGGAGACCCATTCCCACGAACACGCAGCCGTGGATCCGTGGGTCCAGGTAGATTCGAAGGTTTTTTGTGGGTCTTACCTCGTTCCTTCTTTCGTGCGAGCTCAACATCATCACCAAGAAAAGACAGGTTATTTATTGTATGGGCTACGTGTTGCCTTTTCGAAAGATGCAGGTTTTCCCATATTGCTCGTGGTCCTTTGCGGTGTGAAAGTGCAACGGTTCAGCCGGATGGCTTGACCCCCAGATGGTGTTCGATCACCGCTGAGCACCAGAGCGGGCGCTTGAACCAACTCATAGCGGCAGAGTTGGAACGACACGTGGTGGATCCGTTTTCCCCTCTGGATGACCAGACGCATGCAGAGGTGGCACAAGGGGTCGTATTTCGACCAATTGATGACTCGCCGCCGCAGTGAATGCCCTAAATGTTTGAGGTTGGAAGAAAGGGAACCCCCGTAAGTTATGGGTTTTTGCGGTTGGACGTGGTTAGTCTACTTGCAATATTTGGGGGATCCGTCGTACTCCATCAAAAAGGCTGGGGGGGGGGGGTTGGGGAGGATTCCCGGCAACGATTCGATTCGATTCGCATCGCCAGCCGACTTCAACCAGAGAGTCTCCAGAACCTTCTCTGAGATCGAGGCAGGGGGGAAAGATCTTCGATCGTCGTTCTATGACAAGCTCACCGAGTCGGGGTGTAAGACCAGCTAGCCCATGAATGTCCTCCCTCATTCCCGTTTTGGGAACTCTGCAAATTTGTGCTGGGAGGCTGCGAATAGAACAAGGTTTCTTGCTCACACACCAGACTCCAAATACCCAACGGATTCCTGGGGCAGATTTAAGGACGCCTGATTTTACAATGACGTGCCTCTGTTCTTTAAAGCTGTGCAGCTTTTTCCACAGAAGCCGCCGGGGTATTTGGAGTAGAGGGAACCAGGTATGGTCTTATATTTGAGATCAGGTCGCTGGGTTCCAAGCAGTTGGATCCCAAGGCCTAGGCGTGCGTCTTTCGTTTTCTCTTTTGAACCAGAAGGAGGTTCTGGATTCGATCAATTTGAAGTTGGGGATATGGGGGACTCACACAAACTAGGGGGACGAAACGCTAGGTTACAAGGTTCCCATGTCCGTCATATGTTGATTCCATGCTTCCACGTCTGTGCATCACAAAACAGATCCCTTTTGGGGTGTGAAAGGGGACAAAGACAACTTTAACCATTTGGAGCAGGGTTGTGGACATCAGGGGGCGTGTTTCCGCTTCTGTGATACGCACGCCTCCTCCCTGCGAAGACGCCTTCCAGTGGTCTCACAGAGCGCCTTTTTGTGGCAGATACATTTCGAGGTAGATTTGTGTCTGCTTTGTTCCCCAAGGGTGGTTTGAAATGGGAGGGTTCTGATAGTCACAAATGCCAGGCTGCAATGGCTGTCTAATCCACTGGGTGGTTCCAACTGGCCCAACTCATCAACTTGGTTTCAGCAGCCTTGCTTTCAGTTTTGCGTACCAGATCTTACCCATGCGCCCCCTAAAGCGTCTGAGCCATGGACGAGATCAGGGTTGTTCCTTGTGAGACCACCCTGTGTGTAGTAAACAACGAGCGAGGTTGCCCCCTGCGAGCGGTTGCAGTTCCTTTTGGAGGTATGGCACCAACCTGCCCCCGCAACAGGCACCCCTTCAACCACACCGCCCCAGTTTGGGGAAGGCCCACCCCCAGACAAGTTTGGGAATGGCCGGTCCCCTTCCCAGGCGGGAAATCTATTTATATACTCACACAGATACACCCTGTTTCTAGAGACTCAGGAGAAAAAGGCTTGATCGGAAATCCAATGTTTCCATGGATGACCCAGCCCAAAAAACGGAGAACTTGGGTGAGCGGCGCCAGGAGAGTCTCAACTCTCAGCTCGACTCCATCAAGTCCTTCTTCACCAGGTGGGTTGGATTGGGGGTTGGGAGGGGTTGGGTCCAAGGGCTCACATTCAAGGGGTTTTCAACATCGCTTCTGGGACAAAGTGGCTTCTTCAACCAAAGGAGTTTGACCAATTTTCGCTCCCACAAGGTTTTGCACCTGCTATCGGAAGTGTTGCGTTGCCGGCTTGCCGGCTGGGTACATGAGATCAAAGGGTCCTTCCGGGGAGCCTCAAGTGGAGTGCGGTGCCAAGTCGGCTAGAGGCTCGGGTTTTTTTGGTTGGCAAGGACCCCATGGTCAGGCTTCGGTTGCCGGGAAAGAGGGAAAGGCGTGGTACAGGACACCTTTGTTACCCACCAGCATGATCAGAGTTCCATACTGGCCCGCAGACAAAGGGCGCCTGGTAAAGAGATCACGTGACTCATGTCGGGGGCGCATCTCGGGTGGATAGGCAAGTGAGTTGTTTGCGCTGAGGTGAGGTGGCACTTGGAAATGCACAATGCACAGAGTCCACGTGCCCTGGCGGGAGAGTAAGAGTTGGGCTGGGCAATCGACAAAATGACCCCAAATCCTCGGTTCTCTTGGGCATGATCGCTATGATAATGTATTGCTTACCTTCGAAAAGCAAGGTGTTTCAAAATATCCAGGTATTATTGTTTGTTTCAATCCAGATCAAAGGTTGAATGTTTCCCAAGCTGATGCGCCATGTAGTCTTTTGTGAATTGGCTGATTGGCTGACTGGCTGGTGACTGGCTGGAATCATGGGAAAGCACCCAAAGGGTCAGCATCAGCATGGTTCTTTCGGGGTTCGTGCAATCAGCCTTTGAACGGTTCCGTGCCCGGGCAACAGATAGATTTCCGCACAACAGGAAGTGTTGCGGGCGCCAACTCGTCAAGCACCGTAGGATTTGGAACGGTTAGGTAAGAATTCTATTGGGCGGAACCTAGTGGACATGGATTGGGTCGCCACTTCTGAGTGGGTTCCAACTCTTAAATTCATGGCCACATGGGTGGCTCGGCCGTTTTGAGGGCACCCGTGTTTGTACAGGAAAACCAACAGGAAACCGTTGAGTGGGAATCAAATGCGCTATCTCCCCCCCCCCCCCGGCCTGTCCAGAGGTTGAAATGGGGCCTAGGCCTTACGCACCGCCAAGACCCCAAGGTTGGTTTCGTGCTGACATAGGGCTTCTAACCTTAGGGCCTTATTCAGGCCGAATGAGGCGAAATGGCAAGACGTTAGTAGGGCAAAAGACATGTAGAGCGAGCCCAGGGGACGGGGGGATATTCGAAGATTGTCTTTGTGGAAATGTATGGTTGCTTGGAGTATGGGGTACATGAGTGGGTATTTGTTTGCCTATTGTCTTGGCTCTGGCGAAATATGCTTCCACTGAGAGGGTGTTTGGTGCAGGTGCTGTTTTGGGTTGGCTGGTGACGGCCAGGTGTGTTTTTGCGAGATTGACGGCAGGGTGCTAAGTAAAAAATGAAGAAACACTAGGTTTTTCTGAGAATTGGAAAGACTCAACAGACAAAATGAATAAGGATAACAAAATGGTAATGGGGATGGGGGGGCATCTTTTCTAGGAATGATTATTTTGTTTGTAGAATGGATAGTTATGATATGTTATGATTTATTAACCTTATTTATTGTTTGATACATGGTTTTTCAATGGTATTTGCCGTGGTTGTTAGACAAATAGTACCCCCCTCCCCCGCCCTTTTCTAAATCAAACAAAAAACAAGGCCCCGCCCGAATCCCCCCCACACAAGCACCTGAACCTGAACCTGAACCTGAACTGAACCGGAACCGGAACCCGAACCCGAACCCGAACCCGAACCCGAACCCAAACCCGAACCCGACCCCCTCCCCCAAAAAAAACACACACACGACAAAACACACACACAAGGCCCCGCCCGAACCCCCGCCCCCTCGGGGACTCTCCCGGAACCCGAACCCGAACCCGAACCTAGTTTATGGCGAGCTCACCTGGGGGTAAAACGCGCTCACCATGATAAAGATCCTTTACTTGGGGAGCCCTTAATTCAGCTTTGGAATTATTATAGTAAAGTTTGCAGATACATGCAACAGACACTGGATTGTAACACTTAATGTATTATACAGAATAATTTAAAGATGTGAGTAGTGGACTGAATATAGATGTTGTTTCTTTACAATTGGTTTCGCTCTTCTTGAGTCTCTTTATGTTCTTGGGATTTGTTGTGAATTGTTTGTTTTTGTTTTAAGACCGGATTTTCCCGAAACACTCTGCCATACGGTTTGTCGGTATTGGGGAGGCAACCCATTCCAAGGTTTCTTTCTTAGGTGGTGCGAAATGGATTTCGCAACCATCCACAGTAGGTGTCTCTTTTGCGGCGGTAGAAAATCGTTGGCACTGGTTTCACGTTGAAAATTGAATCATCATGCATGCGATTTGCCCCAGCCAAACACCTAGGTTTGGTCTCGAAGCTGACGCTTCTTGCCCTGGGCCTGTCGTTGATCCTGCTTCCATTCTTGCTTTGGATGTGTTTTTTGGAAACAAACAATGTTGTTCTTCTTTCCTGGCAACACAACTACACCACGAAGCGGCTCTCTTTCCCCGAGAAACAAACAAGAAGAATCCAGCAACTCCCTAACCTTTGGCCCGGAGAAAGAAGACACATCCCTTGCCCTTGCGATTTGGGGAGTGTCAAAACAGAAAACCCCCCAAAAAAACGGTGGGGGTAGTTTTACGCAACTCCAAACAGGGGTTCCGAGCTTCAAAAACACACTCGGCCCGGCTCCTGCGCCAAGGGGCGATCACCACCCGAGGGAGGATCGCTGCTTTGAGCTTTGCCAGTTCATCCGGCTTTAGCTCCTGATCCTGCGGTTTCACCCGGCGCGAATTTAGTTCAAAAAGCATCTGCATCTCGGGCAATTGCGCATGTTCTTCAGGAACTGTCAGTCTCTGACCCAGTACGCGGTTCATTTTGGCGCAGTTTCTCCACTTTCAAAGCGTGAACCAGCGCAACCCAATAGCAGCCCCCTATGCCCGAAATAAGCAAGTGCCTGACCTAGGACATGGATTGAGCGACCATGTCCTGACAGAACTTCTGGTAGCTTCTCAGCTTCCTCCCCCAGCTCCTGGGCTCCCTTCCAACCATCAGCTAGTGAGTGAGATTCTTACAACCCAAAGAAAAAGACACCCCTGACATTCAGGTGGAGGGCAGCGAAAGAGGTTCGTGAGCAAATTTGCGTTTCGCATGGGATGAATCTGGGAAATGGGGGAAGTCGCACAGTTTGCACCAAAAAGACTGGGGACGCACGACCATTTCCCGTGTCCAGTGAAATTTGACCGCGAGATCGTGTTCATGCCCGCCGACCTGCTTTGGAATGTAGGACAACTTGGGGACAATATGTTGCTGTAGTTGCATTTGGAAGCCGCCGTATGCAAGATGGCATCACCAAGGAAGTGGCTCATTTGTTCATTTTATACCATTGAGATTTCTCCACCCACCAGGCTCAAGACATTTGCGCCAAATGTTGAGAGAACATCTTGCTTGCGTGCAGATGTGTGCAGCATTCAACAGCTCGCTTGTGCGAGTAGCAGAAACAGATCAACAACATTTGATATGGTATCCCATGAAACACTTGGCTTGGCATGGGCAAGGAACATTTCCAGTTTGCAACAGCATTGCAGCATTACCCAGTACAAGCAGTGATCTTGTGTTGAATGTGACCTGAGCATTCATTGACCCATGGCCAGTCCGAGTCTCAATGTCGCTTGTGCGCAGTTGCAGTGCGCATTGAAATTCAGTGAGTGCTGAGGCCTGAACCTATTTGTACAATATCCGAACCGAGAGCCGGCGTGGCTGGCATGTGTCTTGCGATGCTACGGCCCTGGCAGCTTACGGTCTAATTGCAAATCGTTCATAAGATGGCTTGGAGTTTTAATGGGGAACCTGAAACGTGGCAGGTGAAAAAGGCAAACAACATGAAGGGTTCCCCATTATTATTATTATTATTACTATTATTATTATTATTATTTTTATTATTATTATCATTTTATTATTATTATTGTTTTCGCAGCCATGTGTGTTTCTAAGTCTAAACATCGGGCCACAGGCCAGCTAGCTAGCTTCGGGATCTCGAAGTCATTTGCATGTCCAAGACCACGAAAAGTCCTCCCCCGGATCTTCGTCCAGAACGCTGGGAGGTCTTCCTGCGGGACCCGTTCCTTTCGGCCACGCTCGGTTTCTCCTCCGAACTCCGCGCGTCACGCGGACGCCTCCGTCTGGGAACATTCGGTGGCCAGGTGCTGCGGGAGGTGCAGGCGCCGCGGTCCGTGGCGGAGCTGCGGGGGGCGTTGGAGGCGGAGCAGACGTGTCCGACTTGGATGCGCTGGTGCTTTTGGAGTTGGTACCCTGTTCACCCCCCGGCTTAGAGGGAAGCCACAGCGAAAAGTACCCTGCTTTTGTTTTGGGGGGAGGTCCTACTTTGACGCCTGCTTGGAGGTTCGGCCAAGTGGGTTATATAAGGGCGCTTGGAAATACAAATGTAGAACCAGACAGAGTCATGATCATAATTATTTGGAAGCGTATTGGCAAATTAAGACTTTAGTAGCAAGGGCGATAGACTGGATGTGGGTTATGGGTGCCTTCCTTTTGGTTTCCCTTGAAACAACTCAAAACGGGTTCTTTTAACACTTAGTATATATTATCTATCTATATATATATATATATATATTTATATACACATACACATGTATATACCTCTATGCTCAGCCCCTCCATAATTTACGGTTAGATCATGGGGGGAGGTTGACCATATACACTCACATGAGATATATATATATATATATACACACATAGAGATGCTAATATATGCGCACACACACACACACATGTGCTCCGCGCCTTTCCTGCGCCAGCCGTCCGACGGGAGGTGCTTGATGACCAACAGCTGGTGCTTGGCGACAAGTGCAGCCAGGCGCGGGCGAGCCGCGAAACCTCCGAGAATGTGCTGAACCCAACTACCGCAAGACTTGGGCGGTTGCCCGCCGTTTCCGTACGATTTTGGAGGATGAGGGGTTTAGTGTTTTGTTCCATTTACTTCACTAAAAGTTCAAACTGTTAGCAGGGAATCCGAGGACAGCCCAGAAACAGACGGCCAAACCAGAGAATTGGTTTCATGACGCAATCGATAGGTGCCTAGATACACCGAAAATCGAAGCCCGACTGTGGATGGTCAAAATCCACTTCGCACCACTTCTAAACCATGGGTTGACACCATAAAGTTTGTTGGTATTTACAGGGGGAATCGAATCATGCCATACCTTCGTAGACCCGATTTTCAGCGTCTGGAGTTTTAGGCCAGGGACTCTTTGGGTCCTCACCAGGCCAGAGGCTAGGCCACCTGTGCCTGAGGTGGAGCAGCTGGACCAGTTGTCAGACGGTCCGGCACCGAAGCGCAGTGACGAATCGGCTGGAGTTCCGTTGCTTTTGACACGATGCCCGGGATGTTTTCCTGGCCATGGGTCAAAATCCCGTACCCCCAGTGAACATCGCAATCCCCACTAGACTAAAATGGGTGGTGCACCTATCCCAAAATGGTACCATTGGTTTCGAACCATGGACTCCTTTGGAACAGGTTGAGCTTCCGCTCGCCCAAAGGGGGGCGGGGGTTGGAAGCCAACACATCAAAGGCCATTTCTTCCTCTTTTTGAGGCCCCTGTTTAAACGTGATGCTTGATTCTCTATTGGGTCGAGTCCCAACTTGCAAAGTTATGTTAATGTTGTGCCCCGTTTGATAGTGACACCTTCAATTACGTAGCGGCACGTCTTGAGTTTCAGCGACAACCCCACTGCACCGTTCTTCAATGACAAGGCACCTCCTTGGGGGCGCACTAAAAGAAACTTTCTGAAACAAATTCTCATTTCCCCATACAATAGGGTTTGCCCAATACTAAGCAATACTAGTTGAATGCCGAAGCAATAATTACTAGACCAGTACTAAAGCAGCGCTAAGCAAGGCCAAACCAAAGATCTGCGAATGAACCAATAGTACCGATGCTAAACCGACACTCAGCCAATACTGAAAGACTATTTGAAGGTGCGAACCGAGCCTAGCTTTGACACATTGGAATCTTCTTGCTTTCCCGTTCCGTTGCTCGTCTCTTTGTCTCACCTGACCCCTTCCCCAAAACACAAAGGGCTGATTGAGCCAATACAAGGCCCAACAACTCCTTAGCAGTTGCGGTGGGGTCGTGGCTGCCAGAAAACCTATCCCTGAACCCGAAACCCAGACTACAACCCAAACCCGAACCTTATACCCCAACCCGCCTAAAGCAACCCGAACTCTAAACGGATGTGAGTGTTGTTTTTTTCCAGGTGTTCACCTTTTTCTAAACGGTTGTTTTAGAACAATAGCACCTTTTTCGTCCCATTTGGGACCAACGCTCCGAGTTTCTCCGACCTTCAGGTGAGCTCCTGAAGGTTCTGGTGCCCCGGCGCCGCATCTTTGTATGCCTCGGGGGAACCACCAGGCGCGCTGAAAAAGTCCGTGCATCGGAGCGGAGGTGCAGCTTTTGCGTTTTTGTTGGGGATTTTTGTTGTTCTTCCCAGTACGGCTTTTCTTTTCTTGTGTTCGTTTTTCCTCTTGGGATGTTCTTCTCTTTGAGGCTTTGCTTTTCTTTTCGTGACATTCTTCTCCCTAAACTATGCTTCCAAAAGGCACAAGACATGCCAAGTGGGAGAGACATTAGGCAGAGGGTTGGCCCTGTGGACTCCCATCAGAAAGCTACGCGTGCCATGGATTTGTTGATTCGATAAAGAATCCTGACTAGACCGCCTTGTGCAAAGTGCCATACTTTTGACAGCTTGAGAGAGATATGGAGGGAGGGGACTGGTTGGGAAGGATGGAACGGGAGAAGCAGGAATCATGGAGTTCAGCCTTTCAAGTCTGCTTTTCCTTCTCATTTGTTGGTTCAGCATGGAGTCCCACTTTTGGATATTCAAGCCATCAGGTTATACCGTTATACCCATAGGCAAAGCCCAGCCTCGGGGAAACCCAAGTGGATCGCAATGCCGCAGGTCTGTGGTCTGGTATCCGGGCTCCACGCCGGAGCAGATCGAGAGCACCGTGGTCAAGGCCTCGAGCGCGAGCTGTGCGTTTTTCCCTTCAGCGGCACCCACATGCGTTTGTTTTTTTAAAGTTTTTTTAACCAGAGTGGGCACAATGCAGCCAAAACTTCAAAATTGCTCGTTTCTTTCTCTTTGTTTTGGGGAAACACACACACACACACTATATATATATAATATGTCAAGATATCATCCATGCACCGTGCAATATGTGACACGCAAAGATATGTTTTGCTCGGCTTAGACTCGCAAAAGCGAGAGGCGTGTGGCCTACCGCCCGGCAGCACGGTGGAGTTCATGGAGGGCGAGAATGCGGTGGCTTGGGGCCCGAGGGAACTTAGCCACGAAACGGATTTGCAAGGTTGGGGGCCCCCCACAAGGGGATCTTGGGGGCTTTCCTTTCGGTTGCCCTTGGGAACCACACACAAAAGGTGCCCTCAAAAATGACACCACATTTTCTTAGAGGCCAGGGTGGTGTAAAATCATAGCTTCATTTGATGGAAACATGTGTTCGGAGGAATGGCATCACCTTTCTACCTTGCTCCTGGCCTGTATGGAAAGTCCTCCTTTAGCGAGCAAGGGAAGCACAGGGACATGAGGTTTCTCCGGACCATCCCCGTTGGCATGGAACAGGTTCCTTACATCTTGGCCAATTTAAAGGAACACCTTGGGCCTACCAGATGCTTCAAAGGGCTTTTACATGGACCGGGTTTTCTTCAGCTCGAGTTTCAGAAGTTTGGCTCGAGGATTGAAACCCCACATCCGAGCCATGAGATGTAGCGGACCAATGCCGTCCGGGAGTGTACTGCTGCTTTTGCTGTCCCAGGCCGAGGGGTGGGAGAGCGGCTGCAACGCTAGTTCTCGAGCTCGTGTTGCGTAGCGCGCTTCTCCTTTTGAAGCGATGCATACCCGGCTTTGCTTGGCACATGCGAAGCTCTCGACCTCTTTACTTGTTACGTTCCCACCTCCAAGGCGACATTTCGGCAAGTCCGCAACCCTCCTGAGCGGTATCGCGCAAAAACTGACTGTTGGGCCGCCACCTACCCGCTGTCGATCGGCCGAAGAAAAGACGTTGTTCTTTTGGAGTTTTGTTTCCCAGTTGCCGCGGAGTGAAAAACACACAGCAGAGGGACTTCCAGTGAGTGCAAATGCGGCAACACGCTGTCGCCCCCATTTCATCTCGTGATATCTCTTGTACACTTGACTCCCTAGCACTGCACCCAGGGAGCTAGCACACCCCATGTAATTTCTTTGGTCCCTGGTGTGTCGTTCTATCTTGCTTTTTGGAATCAGCTGTGGTTTCCATTTGTTTGACAACGGCTGCAATTGATTTAAACGTCAAACCCCGAGGTGTCGGACCTCAGCCCCTGAGGCTCCGGTTTCTTTGACCGGATTCCGGCGCAAAGCACAGAGGCCATCCGCGCATCCAGGTTCTCAAAGAAATGGGCACTTCCCCCGCAAAAGGGGGTCCATGTTAATCTAGAGTGTGTATCTCTCATTGGTTCCCCATTCGGTTGGAAAACGAAAACGAACCCACCGCCCGCTTTTTCTTCTATTGCCCTCCTTGCAAGACGGAAGGAGAACCCAGGCAGCTTTTTGGGGTCCCCCATTTTGAGAACCGGTTCTCCAAACTTGGTGACCCCTTTTTTGGTTGAGTGCCCCGAAACCTGCAAACTTTTCCGCATGGTTGTTCTTCCTTCTCATTTTTGTAGTGGGGGGGCTTGGGACTTGAATCCCTGTTGCAATTGAAAAAAGGTGTAGGAAATGTATGGCCATTGTGGCAATGAAGGGTTGAAAGGTAGGGTTGAATCCGGTTTCCTTTTGCAACGAGGCGACTGGTCATCTCCAAAGAGCCCTGGACGAGGATGTCTGTGTGGGGAACTGCGGGGTACAGATGCTGTGCCCCGGACTTTGCTGGGCTGGGCTGCTGGCTGGGCTGGGTGGGGTGGGTTTGCTAGGGACAGTTTTCATTTGAGAGTTTGGTGAGGTGTCTGTTGCAAGGAAAGGGTGGCTGTTTGGACGATGCCGCTGAAGCGATGTTCCTTCGGGACTCAGCATGTGAGCATGCTTCAGTCGCTTCCTTGGATGATTGATCCTATCCCAAGCCCAAATTCAGATGTCAGCTGAACATGGCCCAGGGATCCCTTACTGGGGGGTTCCTCAAACCATCCGGCACTGGGCGCAGGATTCTCAAGTCTCAGGGACCTATCTTCGTTCAAATGCATCCTCGCTTGTGCTAGATGGGGGCGGGTTGTCTTGTGGCGGTGCCCCCTATGGAACAGAATCTAGGTCCCCCAGTAGTGCCCGTTTACCTTTTTTTTGGGGGAGGGTTCCCCTGCTAAAATCAACTACAGAAAAAAAGCATCGGGTACCCTTATTCTAAGCTCTCTACTGGAGGACCTGGGAATCAGGGACCCCCTTTTTGAAGAACCCGGTTTTTGGACGACCTGTGCCGGATGCAAGGCAGCGCTCACTGCAGCCGCACCCTGCGAAGGATTTGCGCCTCGGCGGATCTCGGGCCCCGCCCTGTCGAATCGATTTGGAGCTTGCCGTGTCCAAGTCCATTGCTATTTGTGAGACTCTCTATCTGATTTGGAGCTTGACCCTCCCACTGTCTTTAAAGAGGACTGTTTCTATTTCATTTCGAGTTTCCAGATCCCCCCATCTTCAAGAGGACTGCAGCCTATCCCATTTGGAGCTTCCAGACCCACCTGAGCCACAATCAAACTCGGGTAGGTGAAGGTTAGCAAGGCGGCCGCCTTCTTAATTCTTGAAGCATGGTCCTGGGTAGACCATTGTAATACCGGGTTTTTTATTGTGACTCACCTCCGGCCAAACCCCGAGAGTTTTTGGGGCGAATTCTTTCGGCGCCTTCGCAACTGCGAGGTGGGTGCCTGAGATCTCTGTGATCAATCTGGAGGCGCGCAAGGACCGCTGGGAGACCATGGAGAAGCGCCTGGCGGAACTGGCCGGGGCCTCGACAAGGAAAACCCACCGGAAGTCCTGGGGGTTTTGGGGAATCAGGAATCTCACTCCCTGAGTTCCTGGATTTTGAACTTTTTGGGTTTTGGACCATCCTAGTGGCAAACAAGAAGTGTGGGTGTGTTTTGTCTGGCTCATCCACTCAGGAAGTGAGGAATGGGTGGTTTGGAGCTTCGGGGGTGGTTTCCCTTTCCACCTCAAGATGGAGTTCAAGTCCAAAAAGCTTCTGTTTCTTGGTGAATCGGTCGGGCGAGATTTGCGCAGAGTGACTAAGCCACCATGTCAGGCGCTGGGCTGATACTTGTTAAGGCCATATGAGGTTGGATCAACATTTCCAGATTTGGCTATGGTCCATGTGGGGTTCGAGACATGGGGGGTACGTACTAACTTTCCCACGTCCTTTTTGGGAGACAAGTCATTTGACTGACCGTTGTTCATGGGGCAACTTGTGTTTCTACGAACGACATCCTCAAATCCAGCCGCTCAATCTTGGTTTAAGGAGACCCCAGCCCAAAAAATACACCAGCAGAGACCCTAAACAGTTGAGGACTGACGGGCAAGCACAAACATGCCAACAGCTTGTGGCTTTCTGCGCTTCAACACGGATGAATCAAAATGATGCAGTCGTGAACCCGGCACGCGTTGCGTGGCTGCACGTGTGTTGCTGGCGTGCTTCGCGCTTCAGCAGCGCGCAGGAACTGAGAGCGGGCAAGCGCGCGCGTGAACGCAAGTGTGGCTGCGCAAGCGCGCGGTCACATGGGCAGTTCAGACACACACATCCAATTCAGACACACATGTGTGTGTACATGTGGAACACACAGATGTATACGACTGAAACAGTGCACGCGGCGCGTGCAGATATATATATATATATACATTCACCTGCGGCGCGCGCATACATGTGTTGAGCTGGAAACCAACGTGCGCTTCTTGTAAAGCACACACACATGTGTACACCTGGAACACACAATGCTCTATAAAGCGCACACACACACACATGTGGCCAATTCGAAAACAATCATGCGTTTTCCGTAGCACATACATGTGTACACCTGGAGAGCAAATATGTCGTCAGATGCAAAAATGTTCACCTAGAACATAGTAATGTGTCACGTGGAACACGCATATGTGCATTTGGAACACTGGAACACACATGCGCGAACTCGCGGAACACAAATGTGTACACGTGAACACTGTCTGATAAAACACACACTTGTGTGAACATGTGAACGCACATATACGTGTACACGTGGGGGACACACATGTGCACACATGAATGTACACATGACATGTGCAGAAGGGGCACACACATGTGTATTGCACACGTGAACACACACACATTTGTGTGCACGCAGAAACACAGACACACACGAGTATTCATCTGATAACAAACACGTGTTCTGCTGGAACACAAACACGTGTCTAGTTGGAACACAGAAGTGTGTACACGTGAACACACGTCTGTGTACACGTGGGACAGGCATATGTGTACACGTGAACACACAACTATATATGTGCAGCCGGAACACACGCTCACGTGCGTTCATCTGAGAACAAACATGAGGCACAAACACGTGTCCAATTGGAACACACATGTGTGTACACGTGAACACACACACATGTGTACATGTGGAACACACAGATGTGTACAAATCAACACACATACATGTGCACGCGGAGCAGGCCCACACGCACGTGCGTTCATCTGATAACACACAGGTGTTCTCCTGGAACACAAACACGTGTCCAGTTGGAACGCACATGTGTGCACACGTGAAAACACAAATGTGTACACGTGGAACACACATATGCGTACACGTGAACACACATACATGTTCATCTGATAACACATGTATGTGTTCTCCTGGAACACATACACGTGTCCAGTTGGAACGCACATGTGTGCACACGTGAACACTGTACGCGTGGTACACGCATATGTGCACACGTGAACACACGTGGAACACACATATGTGTACACGCAAACACACACATTTTCACACCCGGAACACGCACACGCACACGCACACGCACACGCACACACACACAAACACACGCGTGTTCGTCTGATATTGGAACGCACATGTGCGCACCCGTGAACCCACAAATGCGTACACGTGGAACACACATATGCGTACACGTGAACACACATACATGTGCATGCGGAGCACACACGTGTTCATCTGATAACACATGTGTGTGTTCTCCTGGAACACATACACGTGTCCAATTGGAACGCACATGTGTGCACACGTGAACACACAAATATGTACACGTGGAACACGCATATGTGTACACGCAAACACACACATATATGCACACCCGGAACACGCACACACACACACACAAACACACACACACACACACACACACACACACACACACACACACACACACACACACACACACACACACACACACACACACACACACACACACACACACACACACACACACACACACACACACACACACACACACACACACACACACACACACACACACACACACACACACACACACACACACACACACACACACACACACACACACACACACACACACACACACACACACACACACACACACACACACACACACACACACACACACACACACACACACACACACACACACACACACACACACACACACACACACACACACACACACACACACACACACACACACACACACACACACACACACACACACACACACACACACACACACACACACACACACACACACACACACACACACACACACACACACACACACACACACACACACACACACACACACACACACACACACACACACACACACACACACACACACACACACACACACACACACACACACACACACACACACACACACACACACACACACACACACACGCGTGTTCGTTTGATAACAAACATGTGTTCCTGGAACACACACACACATGCGTACACCTGGAACACATATGTGTGCATGTCTGGAAAGCACATGTCTTTTCACCTGCGACACACATTTGTGTGCACCTGGAACCCACACATGCGCTCACTTGGAACAGGCATTTGTGTTCACGCGCAATACTGGTGCAGACCTGGATCACACAAACATGTTTAACCAGAACAAACTTCTTTGCTGACTTGCAACACACATATGTGTACACATGGAACACACGTATGTGCACATGTGGAGAAACATGTGCAACGCAATTGTGCAGCACACATGCATTCACCTGGACAACAAAAATGTGTTCACATGGAGCTTACATTCTCTGCACGCCTGTGCAACACATAAGTCAAGCCGCGAAGCCAGCTGTGACGCGCTATTCCACGGGGCTCTGCCTTGAACGGCGTTTGTGTTTTATATGCCTGTTCCAAGTAGGACCTGTGGCTTGATCAAGCGCATGCGCGCGCTCAGACACGCGTTTCTGAGCCTCAAACACACATGCCTGCCCGCGGAACACACCGCACATGAATCCGTGACAACCGGGTCCACCCACAGGGCCGTGAGAGGCATCCAGGCCGGGAGAGAAGAAGAAGGAGACAAAGGAATTGAACCCGTCCAAGCTGAGACACAGTGGGAAACAAATTAATCCGTCCACCCAGAGCAGGCAAGGCTGGGAGCCAACCGGGCCAAACAAAGAATGAATCCGTCCACTCACAAAGCCGTGCCAGGCATCCAGGCCCAGAGAAATGAACCTGTCCGCCCGGAGGGCCGTGCCAGACATCCAGGCTGGGAGACAACGGGAAACAAATGAACAGAGCCGTGCTCCACTAAGAGCGCCGGGCCAGGCCGCTTGGAACGCTGTGCCAGGCATCCAGGCCGGGAGACAATGGGAGACAAACTAGGAGACAACGGGGGGCAAATGAAAGAAGACGAAGCCGTCCAAGGCTGGGAGACAACGGGAGACAAAAGAAGGGAGACAAAGGGAGACAAACGAACCTGTCCACCCAGAAAGCCAGACAGAAGGGAGACAAAGCGAGACAAATGAACAGGCATTCAGGCTGGGAGAGAAGCGGAGGCAAATGAAGGGAGACAAAGGGAGACAAATGAACCCGTCCACCCAGAGATCCAGGGAGACAATGAAGGGAGACAAAGCGAGAAATGAAGCCCGTTTGTATTCAGAGAGCCAGGCATTCAGGCTGAGAGGCAACGGGAGACAAATGAAGGGAGACAAAGGGAGACAAATGAACCCGTCCACCCAGAGATCCAGGCTAGGAGACAACGGGAGACAAATGAAGGGAGACAAAGCGAGAGCCGTGCCAGGCATCCAGGCTGGGAGACAACGGGAGACAAATGAAGGGAGACAAAGGGAGACAAATGAACCCGTCCACCCAGGAGACAATGGGAGACAAATGAAGGGAGACAAAGCGAGACAAATGAACCTGTCCACCCAGACATCCAGGCTAGGAGACAACGTAAAACAAATGAAGGGAGACAAAGCGAGACAAATGAACCCCCGTCCACCCAGAGAGCCAGGCATTCGGGCTGGGGGACAACGGGAGACAAATGAAGGGAGACAAAGGGAGACAAATGAACCCCCGTCCACCCAGAGAGCCAGGCATTCAGGCTGGAGGCTGGGAGACAACGTGAGACAAATGAAGGGAGACAAAGGGAGGGTCCATTCAGGTTCGGGACAGGGAGCGCGCCTCAAAGTTAGCGCCGACTCACTCATGTTCTCATGTCCTTTCAGCTAACCGCGTATTTTGACCATGGCTTCAATGGCTGGGAATCTTAGAGACCTGCTGCCGTGTTTCTGGGTTCGATGTGCAGCTAGGTGAACTCTTGGGCAAAATGCATGTACTCGTGCAAGAAGACCCCTCCGTTAATGAAGTTCCACGTGGCAACTGCTTCGAAAACCCCCGAATTCCTTTGACGCTATCAAGTGTGCCTTCCTTTGCGTCCAACGGTGCACCGTTGGAAAACATGAACGTCTCTATGAGGCACCTTACACCTTTCAACCCAACACGTATTCGGTCCTAGGGTCTCCTCTATTTTTTTTTGAAAGAACGGAGACACCTAAGAAACCCTGGAATGATGATTCCCCTGTACCAACAAACGCTGGCTTGCCACGGCTTCTTAGGTGGCGCTAAAAAACCAATTTGTCCACAGTATGAAGCCGAATCGGAGGATCTGTTTGGTGTCCTCCAGCCAATGGACCCAGCCGGGCTGAGGGCGACCATGTCACACGCTTCGCGGCGACGGATGGCAAGACCACCGCGGTTCCCGACAACTTTGTGGCGCCGGTCAGACACGTCAAGGCAAGTTGCGGCCACATGGGGTTACACATGAAGAAAGAGTAACGCAACACAACTTTGGGTTTCCCTGGAACAACCCCACAAAGGGTGCCCTCAAAACAAGCACCAACCACAAGCGAAGGCGCAAGTTGAATTTGGGGTCTTGGCCACGGTAGTCATTGGTCATCCAGTCAGGATTGACGTTGGATGTGAAGGTGTGTCTTTTTGGCAGGTAGCCTATCTTGAGTTTGCTGAAAAACGATGAGGCGCACTACTATTCTTTATGGTACCAGAGTATCTTGACCATAGCTTGCGATATCTAAAAAAAAGAAACTGTATTTGGAACCCCATGACCAGGGGAGAATGATGCCCCATAGAAGGAACCAGCATTAGGACCTCTTGGCATCCACATCTCAATTTTGAAAGCCGTGGAAGGAACCAATGTTGGTTCCCCTATTTTGGATTCATGGCATCTCTGCAAAGGGGCCTCGACCTATGTTTGACACCTGAGAACTGACACCCGTAGGACCCAACCAGAGGAACGGAGCCCATTGGGCGTCGCTTTCTTTGTTTCACCTTCCTCCCCCATTTTGCGCGGACTTCCATTGGGCTGTCTGAGTGGCATACTTCCGAAACGGGTGCTCAGAGCCAGGAGCATAGGTATCCTTTATGGTTCTTCTACTGGTTTAGATGGGTTGTCCCATTTACAGCGAAAACCCCTCGATTTGTCCAAATGGACACCTACTGTGGATACTCCGTTCGCACTGCGAAATGAAACCATGGTTGAACATATAACTAACGTTTGTTGGTCTTTACGTTGGGGAATCGAACATCATTCCGTTGGGTTTCCTTCTGAACAGTGGTCGCGGGTGTGGAAAATGTTCGTCCGTCCCATTTTGGTGGATTTCTTCAAAAGGACAGCTATGAACCCTCCAGTGACCCGCGGACCACTCAAAATCGGATTTGGAACCCCCAAAATCCAAACTGGGAAGGGTTTCCTTTCGGATCCCTTTAAACAAGAACCTCCAAGAAAGACGCGCAGTTCTACGGCCCCTTTTCGGGACTCCGGGACTCCGGGAACGTGCGCCGAAGCGGCCAGGAGGTGATGAGGACTCTGCTGGAGTACCACCTGGGCCTGGACGTGGCGGTGCCTGAAGACGCCTTGGAGTCCCTGGGCTTCGTGGACACCTGGCGCCTCGGGGTGACACGAGTGACACGAGTGACAACGGGGCCCGGGGAAATGGAGCCGTTCCAGAGGCTTCAACATGGGGGTGTGGATGGGTCCCGTGATGGGTCCCGTGATGGGTCCCGTGATGGTTTTTTTTCTTGTGAGGTTCCAGAGGTTCGTTCGAGACATGGGTTCCACGAGTCCGGACTTCCGAACTTTCCCACCCAGGACCGACGGGGAGCGGGCCTGTGCCATGTCCCACATCCGGGTCTGGCAGCAGGTGGCGCAGGAGTCTGCTCCGAGGCGCGAAAAACGATTTCCGCAAACGAAGGGCCGTGGGTGGGTCTACGGTGGGTGGTGATGGTACGGCTTGTGGTGAATTTGTGTGACCATCTTGGCAAAAACGGGTTTTGGGCGCTGCTCAATTTTTGATTTTTGTGTTGGGGGGGGCCTCTCTGATGTTCTGCCGATTTTATTTTTCGAGCTCACCGATCTGGGCATAGAACAAGCTATGATGTAGGTCCTTCGTAGGCTTTGGACATGATTGTAATATTTTTCAGATTCATCAACCTGGCGGACAAACATCGGAGGATGGCGCCTCTATGGAACATATGAGGGAAAGCCCTCAGCTGGGTGAAGCTTCTCTGAGTTTCCCCTTCCAAGCCATGGGTACCGTTTCTCAAGAAATGGGAACCCTTTGAAACCTTGCAAGGCACCGCCCCACAAAAAACTAAGTCTCCGGATAAGGCTGGGTTGGATGGTTCAGAAGGGAGAGGCGCCTGGAAAGGTGCATGTTCGAGGTTCGCCTGAAGTTTCCAGCATGTCATTTGGAGTCCGAGACATGGGCTCAGCAAGTTTTAGCCACAAAGGCCAAGTTGTTGGGTAATATCGAAATGGTTCTGTGGTTAGAGGAGCTTGTGGGTCCTGCACAGGTATCTGGATTTTGATGTTGGTGGCCTTTTCTTCTTTCACAACACAGTTGCTTTGGTTCCTGAAAGAATCCACGCAAGTAGGCAGCGAACCACAACCAACGCGAATGGCGACTTTTGGTTCCCAATTCGGTATTCAAACCATCCATCGCGACTGAATTATAACGACCTCACACGACCTCACCCCAAATGGCGGTTTATGTGGGGAGTATCCCTCCAGCCACCTTATTTCAGGCTGTTGAAATATTATAATTCACCCAGATCGACAGGGTCCGGCTCTTGCTGGTTCTGAGCAGGGAATGAGTTGAAACCATCCCCTATGGTTTCCTTTAGTCCGGCAAACATTTGAGAGCTTCAGCAGTGTTGGCGGCAGCTTTCACGGGGCTTCGAGCCGTCAGACGAAACCGTTTTGCAGCTTAAGGCAGGCCAATCGTTTTGTATCCCAGAGAAACATCAGTCGGAGAACTTCTTCGCGCTTGGTTTAGTTTCACTTTTGCGATACACATCACCGGTTTGGGCATAAGATCAGATTCCTGGCGTGATGTTTTCAGCGAACGGCGTGTCCTTGCGCCCAGTCCGTTTTGGGTTTGTCTAGCTTGTGACCAAAGGAATCCGTATCTTATGCTTGCTAAATGGTGCATACCGTGAATGTATCCTAGGGGAAGCCGAAAACTGAAACAAGTACGTCTTTTAGTTTCCAGAGGTTCTATGAAACCTCGCTTCCCAAGTTCCTGGACCGTGTGCTTCGGAGGACCAGTTTAGTAAAACCTCTTGGGCATTTGGGAAGTGACCGCTCAGATTGCTGGTGCGAAGCAGAGAATGAAGAAATCAACCTGCGTCGCCCGAAAGGAAACCGCCTGTGATTTTGCTTGCGGCTCCATTTCTCATTCCCTGCCTATCGCACTGATCGCAAGTGGTTTCCAAAGCCGACGTTTTGACCTTTTGGTTTTCCTTTGGTCCGTGTTTTGTCATGGCCCCAGGTGATCACCTGGTATTTCTGGGTCCCATCCGGGGCAGAGTTGAAAGAAACCGAGGCTGGTGTTGGAGGACGACGCAAAGCCAATGCTCGCCTGGAAGGACTTGCTCTCGCTGCTGAGCTCGAGCATGGAGATGCTGGAGGGCCGCGAGCCGGATGTGCGGCCTGGACGAGACCGGCTCCAAGTGGCTATGCCTCGTCAACATGACCATGTCCCCCAGTAGTGCCCTTTTACACGTTTTTGGGGGAGGGTTCCCCTACTAAAAGACTACAGGAAAAAGGGTCCCTTATTCTAACCTCTCTACTGGAGGACCTACATCATGCTCAAATTCGAGATATACTGTTTAGTTTGGCCCTCAAGTTTTTTGCAGTACATTCAGTTTGAGGACGACATCGGAAAGCATTTGGGGTAGAACATTGGCTTGTGTCTTTTCAACGTTTCTTCATCAAACACAAAACATGTTGTTTATGATCCTCGTGCCAGGGTCTTTGGAGTCCTGAGAAAAAGGTGTATCGGTTATTAGTACTTCGATGCTCAGTTCATTTTTATGTGAATTCCAATGGATTCTTTTTGTTACCCTCACTTTGAAGGAAGCCAAAGGGCGTCCCTCCTACGGCCGAAGGTGGGTTTTCCTAGCGGGCTTTGAAGGGGAAATCCAGTTGCAGGTTGTCTGTGTTTTGATTCTTCGGCTGCTGTACTTGCTCGAGCAATGACATGAGTGAAGCCTAGTGGCACTCTGGCTCTTTCAATGCATGGCAGCTGGGTCACGCGTGGAATTGTCTGCTTTCGCAGCATTCCGGAGTTGCGTTGCTTCAAATGGTTGGATGATAGATCCGGGCGAAAGTTCGAATTTCAGAGGCGAGGAGCGAATGTGTTTGTCCCGATTCATTCTATGTCTATTTCGGTGTGGGCTTTCAAGGGAGCCGCCCATCAGAATGCAAACTGTCGCTACCGAAGGGAATTGTGAAGAATTGTATGAGCTATCTCTCAGGGTTGCTGGGGTTCTTTTCTGAGGTGACCGATTCTGCATAGACCATGCAGACAGTAATTCATTCAAAGAGAAACTCTTTGAGTCATGTAGTTATATGCATGATTGTTTGCGCATAGGTGAGAACTCCTGTCATGTGGTTTGGCTCCCGCGAGTTTGCATATATAAACTCTGGAGCTTTCCGAGGCTGTACCTGAACTACAACACCATCGAGGCCAGAAAAGGGGGGAGGGGGTTGGGCACCACTGTTCCCCCCCAAAAGCCGACCAAAAACAAACCCGCAAAACCGGCCCTTCAGAAAGGGGTTGAAGGCGACCTTCCAGCCCTTCTCAAGTCCAGTTGACACAGACCATTGTGGTAAACAGACAGTTTAGACATTTTCTGGCCAATTCAGTCAGGAAGTGGGAACATGGAACAATTCGATCCTGGGAAATGCATGCACTGACCGCACTACATGTTTTACACTATAGTCAGTTACATATCACTCTTTCCTGAACACAGAAGTACGTTATCAAATGCGGTGACTCTCACACCGCAGTCAAGCAGTTAAGCAAGAAGACTCCGAGTTATGCCGAATCAGAGGCTGAAACCAACCAACGGCGGCACTTGGATGACCACCGCTTCGAGCAGGTGATTCATATCCGGCATCCGAGCTTTGTCTCAATATAGGGGACCCTCCCTGCCAAACGACATGGTGACTTTCCCTTTGGTTTTCCTTTCCAAGTTGAAGAAGGGCACCCTGAGAGAAAACACAACACACGCGCACACACACACACATACGTTGAGGTCTTGGCTTTACTCCCCTCAGGGCTTCGCCCACGGCCGCCTGGGCCCTTTGGGCATGATGACTGCCGACAAGGATCTGATGGCAAAGATGGGCGCCCAGTGGCTGAGCCTCGGCGCAATCCATTGGGTTCGTGGGTTCCGGGGCCAGCATTGGCACATCTGAAGAAGGGCTGAGCTTGGGACGCGTGGGTCGCCTCTTGTGTCGTCTCTTTCTAGCCATCGACAAGCGGCCCTTGAAACAGGCAAGGCAGAAAGTGCGCTTTCGGGCTCAGGTCTGATAAGCTCAGCAGCCGCTTCGCCGCAACGAAGATGCGTGCCCGACGGGTATGCAGTTGCCAGTCGGGTTCACAACGGCACGTCTCAACACTCAAGGCTCAAGCCTTTGTGAAGTTGTAAAGACCAGCACAAAAGAACGGAATTCAGTGAAAGAAGAAGTCCACCGCTGCTTATCCGGATTGTTTCATCAACTTCCAACCAGAGACTTTCTGACTCAGATGCCTCCTGGCAAGAAGATGTCGGACGCATCGGGGAGCACAAGCTGCTCAAGGCTGATTGGCTCTTCGAGACAGGACAGACATAGCTTAGGCAGGTGTGCCTCGGTCAAAAGAAGGGTTCCTTTACTTGGTTTCTAAATGGAATCATTATCATGACCCACGCGGTATGTGTACAGGTTGGCGCTTAAGGAACGGCGCTCTTCCTGTTGCCTTTCGCCTCTTTTGCAATATCAATGAGGACTGCGCTGCGGCAAGTTTATGTCACTCTCAAGGATATTGTTAATCGTATTGCTGACTGGAGGGATGCCTCCTTCTTTGGCAGCTTTGCCGTTAAGAACCATCTTTGCATTAAGACTCTTGCCCGGTAGTTCTGGCTCGCTGATGTTTCCTTGGACCCTCTTAGTCCTGCTATGCGCAACGATATTCGCAGTTTTTGGAACACGCCGTTCAATTTTTTCCGATCTGAGTGGTACCGATATCAAGGGTGCTCTTTGGGTTGCCTCTGCGCAATTTTGAGGGGCCATCACTCGATGGACATTTATTGAAAAAAATATATTAAAAAAAAAAAAAAAAAAAAAACATAAAACAAATCCTGGAACCCTCAGAGCACGCTAAACGCACGGTCATTGCTTCAAAGCAATTGCAACTTCGGAAAGTTCAGAATGCCAAGACCCGAATAGGAGGATATTCTCACTCTGAATAAGGTGCCTGAGTAGCCTGCTCACCCTTGAGGTGCTCAGCAATATTACCGAAGACCATGGCCCACACATGGAGTGGTTGGATGGCTTTGGAAGGATGCCACCGTCAAGCCAAAAAGCCGTGTGGAAGGTGGAGTTCTTGTTGTGCCACACCTGCCATGATCAAAAGAGGCCTAGACTCTAGGGGCCAGTCATCAAGAATAATTTCCGAGTCAACCAGCCGGGCCCGTGACTTACATAAGGAGCTTTGACTACGGCACACATGCACACTTGTTAAAGCTGACAACCACTCATTCAGCATTAGTACGCGAACCAAACACCGGAGGGTACCCATGGTAAACGGAAAACCCCCATGTGAGCATGCGCAATAACTTCATGCACCAAGCTTAACCATGTGAAGGGCGAAGTTATCCTGCACTGTAATCAGCTACGTACCACGGGACCTTCTGCCAGGCGTGGATTGTAAAAACATCATTCGTGGAATGCCCCTCATTGAGCTAAATTGGGTTCAGGTACAGAGGACGTGCTGGGTCGCTCGCTTCCAACTCTACAACCTTGGGTGGGTTAAGCATTACCTCGGCCAGAGTCATTTTGAGTTCGGGTGATGAAGGGGACATAGAAGGCTTCGGCCAAATCTCCTGAACCCAACGCAAAGTTGCGGTCTCAAGGAGGCTACCTGATCTGGCCGAAGGGCGCTCAAAAGCTGCTGGCAAATCTGCCGGTGACGAGCCCGGTGGACTCTGGGCTGACTTGAGCGACGTGCCCCGATTGGCTGTTTTGGTCTGAGGTTGGTTTAGTTTGGATTGTAGTATGGGCCATAGTTTTTTGAAAAGGTTCTACGGTTTGCTGCCTTTCTGGACCAAAAGTCCACACAATTTCCCAGGCAAGACCGTGGCCACGTGTGCCACGACCAAGTGACCCGTTTGGGTTGGGAGAGATGGTCATGAAACCCTCAGGGATTCAGACAAGCACAAGGATTTTTAGGGAACCGTGACCATGACCCACAATCGGGAGGGAGGGGGATTTTGGGGGGCCATTGGCTGGTGCAAGGCCGGTTTGTTCTGTTCTAGCCGCATGGGTTCCGATATGCATCCGTTGCAGAAAGCAAAAGGAATCTCTTAAGCTGCATGCGAACAGCATCTCCACCATCAGTTCTGTAGCACGATACTGAGTGTTTGCTTGGCTTTTGGTCCGTGAACACGCAGGTTGTTTCAAGACGTTGGCGAGCGATGGTTGGTTGATGGCCAGGGTGTTCCAAGGCTCTTTTGCTAGGGATTGAGGCACTGTGGATGGACGAAAACCATTTCGCACCACCTAAGAATCCCTGGACCAAGAAGCAATGTTTTTTGTTCCCCCACGGTGCGACATGGATGTGGCAACCATCCACAGCACTGGCCAAAACTCAACATTGAGTTGAGGACACGTTCTTGGGGAATCAGACCCACTTCGGCCACATCGACAGCTATGCAATCGCGCCCGGGTGACCTGGCGTGAGCAGCAAGACTCGGCTGGGAGGAGTGTTTGGCGCACGGCTCGGAAAACGAACACCTTGTGGGTGTTTGGAAGGATCCGGGGGTAAGGACCCCATGGTGAAAGCTTTATTTATTTTTTTGCACAGGAGCTTTGTTTTCTTTCAAGCCTCACCTATCGAGTCAGCCAGCTGACTTTCAGAACAGGATCAAGGAGGGGGCAGTTCGTTGGCTCTAGTTGGGTGGCACCAAGGCTGATCAACCAGGACAACAGCACTTCGGATGTCGATCCCACCATCGCTGCGCGCTATGTCAAGACCATGACCCGCTGATACCGTCGGGCAAAGCCCCGGTTCTGCACGCGACCGATGAGAAACCGCTGGGGGGGGAGGGAAACCAGGCTTGAAACGATGGTGCAAGTGGGGGTTCCCTTGAAACAATGCGCCAGGATGTTGTGGTTGAAGAGGTAACATGATCAGCCTTTGTGCAGGAGAGAGGCCGCATGATACCAGCGTAGCCAACTTGTGGTGAACAGGTAGGAAGACTTGCCACTCAACGTACCTACAGGTCCCAAGTCATTTGCAACCAGTGTAACAACTCCTAATCCTTGATTGCCTGACAAGATTGTACAGTACCTGCTACAGTTGTGTCCAAGATACCCCAAACACGGTCAGCTTCTTTTGGTTTCCCTCTAGAATGCGAAGCCATTGAAAGCCAAACCATGACGCCTTTAACCCTCTCTTGCACTTTAGGGTATTTTCCATTCAGGATGCTCTCGGCCTCATACAGGTCTGTATCAAAATGGGTTGAGAGCCCCTCGCTGGCTTTTCGCTTTTCAGACTGCCCAATATAAGGGAGACCAAGTACATTGTAAGGACAAGCCCGTCCCTTCATGTTTGTGGAGAATGTGTCTTTTTGGGCCATGTGCCGCCAGGAGAATCCCCTGAAACTGACGAAGTAGTCGCCCTGGAATTCATCACTTTGGCGTCACAGATTTCGGGCGAGTTTGGGATTGCTCAAATGGTGGGTTGATATCGCAAGAGAAATACTTCTGTGTCAAAACAGGAAAATCCATGGCCGTCTTGGGGTGGGTTTTGATTTTTTCTTTCAATCCAACGTGGAAGGGATACTCTCAAATACGGACGCCCAACTACTTTGAGACACCCACCCTATATCCAGGGCTCCTTCATCTGCATCGCTTGCTGTTGAGTCGGCCGAGGTTATCTCGCCCACCATCCCCAACGACACCTACCTCACGGCAGGGAAAACGGGACGGACGGGTGGATCGATTGGGCAGGGGCATGACAAGACACCAAGATGGCTACGTACAAAAATATGATTCCTCGCATGCGTACGAGTCTGCGCAGGCATACCTCCACAATTACATATCATATAAACTAGATGATTAAATATATCATACTCGTAGATATTCCAACAAGAACCGGCCAACACCCTTTCATTGCGACCCCGTGTCTCTCTCATTGCTATTGCCCAACTTCTGACCAGCACGCTGCCCTGTCAAGGTGGTGCCGTTGGAGCAGAATGGCAGGCGGGAACCGTTGCGGAGATGAAAAAGTGAAACTCCCCGCCCGGTGCCAGTTCCCACTGCAAGTAGCCAGGGGAAACTATCAAGTAAAAACGTAGAGGTCGATTCCATGCCCTGCTTTTCTATTTGAAGCAATGGGCCAGCTTGCTTTGCATGTGCCAAGCCAAAAAAAAGGGGGGCTGTGCTTATCATGCGAGACCCTCTACAACATGTAAGCAGCAAGTGGGTGTTTGGAGGAGGGCCCATTGGGTTTTGATGACCTACTGAGCGCTTTCAAACTGTGTGAATGAGCCAGCCACCAGTTTGCTTCAGTCAGTCGCTGGCTGTGGTTGACGACCACTCGCCTCTGCTTTTATGGGCTTTGAGCTGGCCCAGCCAACAGCTCCCTGCAAGCTAGCGCAACAATACACATAAGGCATGCATGGCAAAGGTCGCATGGGTGTTTCAGATAGGGTTGGGTCCCCGCAATGGGTGGTTTCCTTCTGGTTTCCCTTTGTCTTGTCAACCGACAGGAGTCAACTCACTTGGACCTCCCTTCGTTTTGCGAGGCATGACCGGGGCGAGCGCAACGAGCGGCAGCCGTCACCCAGGACTCAGAGCCGGGGCCCAGGTGACCAGGTTTCTGCAAAGTTTTGTTTTTCGGTATGGACATGGGTCAAAATGATCAACTTCATTTTGGGATGGCTAAATGGGAAACAGTCAGGTGAAACCATGGGTACCCCAGTGAAGCCGTTGGTACCCTAGTTTTACCCATACCCACAAAGTGCACGGCGGACGACGGAGGCCCCCGATTTCCAGAGATATCCACCTCTGACCCCCTTGCGCTTCGGCCACCCTGAGGCCAGCGGGACATTCGTCGGGCTACGGCCTCTGCACCCGCGAGGCTCGAAGATGAAAAAAAGGAGGTACCCTTCATGGGGGCGAAAGCTGAAAATCCCCTCCCCAAACTCTTCTTCACTGTTGTTGGTATATGTGTTTTGGTTTTTTTAAATATTTGTTTGTTGGGTTCAAGTCCTGTTCATTTCGTTTATTTTTAGTGGGGGCTGCAAACAGCAAAGTTTCCTGCTTCCGTATGAAGGGTTGGAAAGAATTGCTTCCACTTCCTCAATATGATATTTTTTCCTGTTAGTTTTAAAGGGACTTTGTCACTACTGAAAGTAGTACTCTTCCTCCCACGTTGCCATGGCACCAGTTAGAGGGCACCTGAAAGATCAATTTCCTCAAGGGACCCTCTGTCAGGTGCTATGGCAACGTAGGAGGGCTGGAAGTATAGGTTTACTTTTTCCAGGTGACTTAAGCAAATGGAGGATGATATTTCGGGGTAGAGCAAGTGTGAAACATAATGTGAAAATATGACTTTCTGTGTACCTCAGATGTGGGCGAAGAACAAGGGGCGGGTTGTCGTTGAGGAGGGATTTTGATTTGTTTGCCACCAGAAAAGGCATGTGCGAAGGTTTATTTCGGACTCAGACGCGCTGATATTTGCAACGCCACCTCCCATGCATCAAAGGTGCCATCCCATTGTCCATCGGATTGTGAAAATGATGATTCCCTTATTCGCCCTTCAAGTTGCGGACGACAAGAGGGTGCCCAAGGTGCGGGGGGGCGGGGGGGGGTTCAAACCTAAGCTGTGGCACATGAGACACAGGTCTCACATCAGTCTGAAACCTTAGTCCGACAGAAGTTTGGTACTTCGCGCACATGGAAATGTATAAACCCCGAGCGGGAAGGTTAAGTTCCAGGCAAAAAGTTAGCCTTTGTTTTGCACGAGTTAGGGATTGACGTCATACGCGCAAACCAGTAGATATTTGGAGTAGGGGTATCTGTCCCTAAACCCAAACATATCATACAAGCTACTCCAAAAGTCCGCCCTAAGCCAGTCATATCATACAAGCTACTCCAGCTCGATTGTTCTCCAGTATGTCGAGCCCTGACTAAACAGGAAGAAAAAGGAAGAGTTGCCCCATCGACAAACTAGGCTGGGGGAATTTGGGCGTGTGATGATTGATCCCATTCATAGACTGTTATTGAGTTGTTAGCATTGGTGCAGAGGTTCTAGCACTTCTAGCAATTGTTCTCTTGTAGGACACATTGGAAACACTTTCTTTTTGTATGTGATAGAATGGTTGTCCTAGGGCTCAGCAGAAACTCGTAGGGATGACATTGCATTCTCGTCGTTGTGCACCACGGAAACCCTGAATCCAGGATCGTTTTTGTTTTGGACGGCTGCGGCTAGGAACACGCTGGGGCGCACTGGAAGTGCCGCTGCAGGCAGAACATCAATGTGCGGGGGTCTTTGTCAAGGACCCCCACCCCCCAAAAAGGGATACGTTTTGAGCATGTTGTTTGCGGATGACAACAAATGCTTTGACTCATAGAGCCATGGTTTCCGAGAAAGGTGCTATGGGTGAAGCGTCGGGGATGTTTTGGATGCGCGATGGGAAGCTGCAGGTGGGGGGGTGGGCATTTTCTTTCCAACTATATATGGGCTTGCGGCTTGCCCTCGAAAAGAGACGCCCACATGGAGCCAATGAAGGGGCTGTGTTGAATCCACAACTTACTTCGCGTCTCCTGGCTTTGGTTGTTTGGTTGCGTCTCGAAGACTTCTCAGCCTGTGCTATGTAAAAGGTAAGCGAGGACGTGCTCCAATCCATGCCGAATTCTGGCTGGCTTACCAGCAAATTCTACCGCAGCGTCTTCAGCAGTGTGGCTTCCCAGTTCCTGTTTTCCTCGGGCAATCACTGAACAGGCATGACCACTGTCAGGTAAATCACCGTAGATTCGTCCCCCAGGAATGACAAATCAGGTTGGGTCACTTTTCCTGCGCAGTTTGCCTTGTCAGAAACAGTTTTCAGCTGGCTCCACATGCAGTATACTGCATGTGGATGGTGGGCCTGAACAGGTAGTTGAGACAATCTTAAGGGAGCAATCCCCACGAGGTTTGAGCACTTTGTTCGCACTGAACCACAGGCGGCTTCCTGCCGCCTTTCGGCTGCGCCAATTCTCATGTGTTTTCACATCTATATGTATTTTTGATCATAGAAATATCAGCATACAAGTTGTGCGTATACAAGTATGTAAGTATATATAAATCCGCCCGCCAGGGGTCAGTGCTCGGAGCAGCCGCGGCCAGGCCTCAGGCGAGCCCCGAAGTTTCCGTGTTGGACCCCAGGCAGGAGGTAGACCCAAGGCTGTGTCCCTTGATTTGGGGGAGGGGGGAGGGACAGGGGTGAATACCTTTTGGCTGGCTTTTAGGGGAAGCCAAAAGTAAACCCTGAGCATTTGGCGGGGTTTCCCCTATTTTGAGACCAATCTAGCTGGACAGAAATTCAATTAAGGTAAGCTTCAATTATCTCGCCAGTGGATTCTAGGCAAGACACAGCATTTTTTTCGGGTCAACCCCCCGGTTTACCGCTTGGAACCGATTTAAATAAGGGGTGCGGAACGGCAGCGGCAGAACTCCTTTTGTGATTCACTAGTTGTGACTGATTTTGAACATGGCTTTGGCGTGGGCTGTTTTCGTTTTTGTTTTCTGTTCGCCTGTCCGAACTGTCTGGGTAACAAGAGAAGCCAAACAAATACACACGTCATCTTTTGGTCATGACTCGATTTGGTTTCATACCTTTCATACCTCACAACTCCATTCTGCTTGTTTAGGCCTTGGTGATTTTCCGTGTTGGAGCGGTGGGCACCCAGCTCCGGGCCTTCTGCCCCCAGGCGCGGGCCCTGCGCGGCAGGCGCGACTTCGATGCCGCCCCTTATGTCCCTTGCCTGGCTTACGAATGGCAAACCTAGGCGGTGCCCTGGGCAACTGCAGAGGTCACAACCTATGTCTTTTGGCCGAGGTGACTTGTGATTCTTCAATGGTTCGCTTTTGTAGAGCCGTGGCACTGGTTCTGCTGGTTCTGCAGCCGCACCCTTTTCCCCTTTTCTGTTTTGGTTCATGAAATGGAATCTGCACGCGAGAAGGGAATCCCCTTTGACGGGGTACCCTTCTTCCATGGTGCCCCTTTGCAGCTTTCTCGTCCTGCAGGTAAGAAGCCCAGAGAAGGAGGCCGGAAGCGAGCAGAAACACCACAGGAGACAGCCAGCGAGCCCATAATGAAGGTTCGGTACAAGCAGATTTTGTTCAACTTCTCCTCTTTCTGGATATTTGGTAACAGATCTTTGGACTTTAGCTTTTTGGTTGAAACAGGGCGGAATTTCCGCGTTGGACCCACAAGTTCAGAGCTTGTTGAGCAATTTGCCCAGAGAGGTCGTCCCGGTTCCACTTACCTTTTTTGGAGGGAGGGGGGGGAAGGTCGCCATGTACAACCAGGTCAGAAGGCCGTTTCGCCTAGCGTAAGCCCAGCTTTGGAGCCTTCAGGCGCCACCTTTGAGCCGGCGCCCCGGTTGGTGGAACAAAGATCACGAGTTATGGCAAGGGGACAAGGGAACAGGGTTCCAATCACATGGCTGTGGGTCAAAACCAATTTTGGGGGTAGGTGAACCACCCGGTTTAGTCTATTTTCGTGGGGATTGGGATGTTCACTGGGGGTACGGGAATTTGAGCCATGGCCATATCTCGCACCAATTGTCATGGAATCTTTCGGGTGATGGTTCAGGGGTACGGTAAGCTGACCAGAGTTGGTTAGTCACAAGGGTGCCAACTAAGGGGAAGAACCCAGTTGGTTTTATGCTTCACGAGTGTTCCATGTTTGTGCTGGATCCTGCGAGGTTCCGTAATGCCCCCAGCCAAAACCAACTACAGATTCCGCTGGGTTGCCTACTATATGGGTTTGCCTGGGATCCACTGGGAAAACGAGGGATTCTGCTGCTTCCGTTGAAACAGGGTTAATTGTGCCCACCGCCAACAGGATCTTCCGCTCAGAAAAGTCGACACCGAGCTGTGCTGTGCCTCGCGCCCCCACGCCTTCGCGCCTCGCGCCCTGAGGCCGCAGCGGGTCCCCGGCCGCGCTCCGACCGGAGCGCGCCAGAGACGCCGCGCCGCCCGCGGCCGCGACCTCCGCGGCCTCCGCGGCCGCGGCGTCGGAGGCGGCGCCCGCGAAGGCGTCGGCGCCGGAGGAGCCCGGGGGCCTGGAGACGGAGGGGGGAGGTTTTGGGTTGTGGGATTTGGGTTGTGGGCATAAATGGGTCAAGTGGATTGGCTGAGGGCGCTTTTCTGAGGGGACTGGATTCTTTTTGGGTTTAAAAGCGGATCTTCAGTGTGTGTTTGCAAGTTGCCCCCCATTGAGCAAAGTTGGGGAAGGGAGCCTAAAGGTGGTCCTCCCACCGATCTCAAATCAGTGTGCCTTCATTCAGTTCGGGGGTAGCTGCATGCTTCTCATTCCCTCCGACCTACGTAGTATTGGCTTCAAAGGAGTGCACAGCCACAAACAAGATTAGGGAAGTTGAAGTCAGAGATGTGGGCTACAAGTGGGATGACATTGGCAGCCAGATGAGCTGTTCTTGAAACGATGATTTTGATGACTGAGGTTGGGAACTTGCGCAAGAGCACCTGGCATTTTGTGTTGTTAAGCGACCCGAAAGCCGGCCACGCGCCGCACTTGAGAAAGCCACTCTAGGCCCAATGGATGGTGTTAAAGCAGACGTGCCTTCCATGGGATTGGGTTGTCGCGTACGGACATCCGGGTGCCATTGACACTTTTACTTGCCCCGCTTAGGTTATCCCCAGATCAACTTTTGACTGGTGGATAGTAGCCATGAAGTATCATGAAGTCGTTCAAGCTTATATGTTTGGCAGGTTCCGCCTTGGATGTGTGTCTTTCCGCATCCGAAGCCGGGACGCTGAGGCATTGTGTGCACATCTTGGCGGGGCACAACGGCTTTGTGCTGAGCCTTTGCACCGTGGGGGACGTGCTCTTTACAGGTTCTCAGGCGGGCGGCCTGGAAATGATATCGGGCCCCCTGGGTGTGCGAACGACTCGGTGAGCACATGTCATGTTTAATTTGCGCTTTCCTTGGTAGCGGATCTTTCGACTTTCACTGTTTGGTTGAAACAGCATGTTTCATTGGACCCACAGTTAAACTTTTTGCAGAGAGGTCAACAGCAACCAAGTTTCCTCCAGGTTTTTCAGATGGCTGGAATCTTTTGCCTGACGCTCCAAAAGGCCGTACAGGTGTGCTGAAGCTGGTACCGAAGATGCTGGATTCGGTGTGACCTGTTGCATCATTGCTTTCTTTGATCATTGGAAAGAGCTTAACATGTGTACAGTAATATGTCTGTTACTTTGCATATTGGATTGACCGGTTTGCAACATTTGCTCTACCGTACAATTGCTTCATATTGGAAAGGCCGGTTTGCAACAGTTCTATCGTACAACTGCACGCCACTCTAGAAGCACTTGCCTCATTGTGTTTTGTGGGACCGAAATGGAACAAGCTGAGGACCAACAGGCCAAAGCAAGAACAAACTTACCTGCGATTCTGTTGTTTCTCGTGATCTTTTTGTCCATTTGATTAATTTGTGAAGTGCTGAGATGAATATTTGTCGATTTTCCCCTGCTGGTTTCAAAGGGAATTCATCACTGGAAGTTCTCTTCACTAGAACTGGCCTCCTGCGGTCTCGTGCCAGGACTGCAATATTATGATCTGGGACCTGAACAACCTGCAGGTGTGCCGCTCGCTGGATTTTGGCTCATCCTCGGCCCTTCTTTCAGTCTTCTTTCCCTCCCCCGAAGAAGTATCCAGGCGTGATGTCTCAGGTGTACATTTTTGGGTGTATCAAATCATGTTGTAAAGCTAGACTAAAGTTATGCCATTCACTCACATGGATATATATATATATATTTCCCCCTAGGATCCGCCGGCCTCTGTTTCCGCGTGTTTTTTCAACGATCGCTTGCCGGGACATGTTTCCATCCAAGGGCTCCATGGCTTCCAGGGGCCATCTCCGCATCCCGCGACCCGTCCGCGCAGTACATCGGCACACTGCCTGGCCACCGTGGCTTCGTGAAGTGCATGGCGGCTCGGGGCGCTCAGACGGCTAGGGGCTGGGGGACTGGGGATGCGAAATGGGCGTGTGAGGCCTGATCATGGGGAAACCAACTGGCAGGGATACGACAATACGAGACCTTGACTATGCTTGATATGGGAAATGGCGCCAAGGGAATCCCTCCATATCCACGCTCCCTCCGTATCCCCGCTTGGTCGTTTGTCCAAGTATTCCCGTCGGCCGCAAAACGACCATGGGTTTGTAATGTGTAGGGTGGTTTCCCTACATGGTCAAATCCTATGTAAAGATCCAAGAGGGATGGGCACCAGATCTCCTAGCTCCCAGGTACCCTGATCCCTTCGCGATATTTCCATGTGCTTCAGAAGATTTGTGTATTTTCCCCTGTTGGTGCTGAAAATAATCTATCATTGACTGGAATATGTTATTTTTCCAGGGGACTTAAGAAAATGGAAGGATGGAATTTGGGGCTTGAAAGGGTCAAAGTACCAATTGGGACCCTTGCGGGTTTTGGAGGTGTCCCAAGTGAGGCCAGGGATCCATCTGTGGGTCTGATCGATGGGAATGAGGGGCCGCGGTGAAGTTTCCTGGGTTACAAGGGTAAAGGCCCATAGGTGTCCTTTTTGGTTGTTTTGGTCGAAAAAAATGGCCCTGCTTTGCCTCGTGGTTGGACACCTATGTAAAGGCCACGGCGCTGGAGATGTTCGCTTGGCTGAGGCCACGCTGTCCAGGAAGATACTTTGCTCCGGCTCGCAGGCCGTGGGTGGCAGTGGGCGGCAGTTTTCGGGGATTGAACAAGAGGAGATCCGCAAGAAAGGCGAATCCTCTTGGTGCTTCAAGCCCTCTCCCGAAATCCCAATCGATGTCACGTGTTTCTTCCTCGGTTGGCGACCGCTTTTTGAAGCTGCGCTTGTGTTTTTTGATGGGAGGGGGAGCGGGGGAGGTTGCCAGCCGAGCTCCTGCAGAAGTTTCGGTAGGTTTTGTGATGTCGGCATGAGTCATCGCAATCTTGCGCTGGCCTTTTTAAACCCGAATCCAAGTCACTTGGGTGGGTCAGTTTGTGATTCTTTTGTTCAGGAACCCCTCAATTATCGTTGGTCTCGATGGTTTGGAGATTTGACCGTGAGGTTCTTGAGGGTAAATGCGGACCCCCCCCCCAGCCTCGACACCAAGAATTCCAACCAAAGGAAGAGGGAAGCTGATTGTGGGATTGTGCTGATGCAAAGGAAAAGGCTCCATGGGGTTGGCTCTGACGCCTTGTGCCGAGTGTGACCCGAGTCCGACTCTGCGGAATTTCCCTCCATCGTTCGACAAGCTGAGGCCGGGTTTCTTCAGTCTCACGGTTGAATCGTTTCATTTGGAAGGTCGTTCCGTCAGCACCTCCAAATCTGCAAGCCAGGACAAGACCATCAAGATTTGGAGCTTAGAAACCTTCTCCTCCACCAAGACCCTCTACGGCCACACCAGCCGGGCGCAAAGGCAATCCGTCGTGACTTGTTAGCCAAACTTGACGTGGTGTGGCGGGTGCACTGTGGGGCTGCCAGAGTCCTAAATTGAATCAGTGGTCTTTGTCAAGAGGGGATGCTTGAAGGTGGTTCTTTGTCTTTGGACATGCAGTCTTGGAAGAGGTGCCCTTTGCGAAATACATGCGAATGGCTGTGGAACCTCACGTCTTCCTTGCCTTCCCCCCTTTCTCCAGGACCCAGCACCCAGGACAGGCCAGGACGGTCCTAGAACCCTAGACTTTCTATTTGAAGCATTTGTGGAGAGTTTCACACACGCTGACCAAAAATGATCAGGGAACGAGTCGAATTGACTTTCTATCAACCATCCCTTGTTTCTTTGAGGGGGGATCTGCTTCCGATTGATTACCCAACCCCCAAAATTTAACTCCCTGAGAACTAGCACAGGTTCTGACTTTGAGTCGAAGGTGTGCCACAATCAAAACCCAAAGGGGACAGTCCCAGCCAGAAGTGGATGCGAGGGACTCCGCCCTCTTGCTTTTTTTACCATGGGTTTCGGGCAGACCCGTTTGGACGAAAGGTGAGGTTTTGATTTGACTCAGGTGAGGTGAACAGCCTGGTGCTCTTTGAGAGCTCCGAGGTGTTGGTCTCTGGCGGGGAGGACTCTCCGAATCGATCCGAGCTCCGAGGGAGAGCTGTTTGCCTACTTGAAAGGTTGAGCTTCGTGGTAAAACGAGCCATGGATCCCTGATTTCGCGCTTTGGCATTAGTGTAGAATGTGGGGATTGGTGTGGTGGAGTTGCCCTTCTCCGACTGCGTGCAGCCGTCCTGTTGCTTTGGCTCTTGGAACGCCCGATTGCGACTCAGAGGCGCGAGAACTCGACAGGGAGCCGGTGGGAAGAATCTGTATCATGCGCACGTGTGCCTTTTACAAACGAACACATCCACACAAGACTCAGAGGCTCCAAGTACCATTTGAAGATGTTGTTTTTTGGTGTGTGTGTGTGTGTGTGAGGTTCAAGGGGGTCAGCAGTTCTACTTGGACCTTTAGGGATAAATTTGCATCCAAACTGACCTACATGGTTGCCTACGCATGGACACCTTGTAGGTCCCGACTTTGTTTCCCAAAAGCGCGGATGCTTGGACCCGGAAGAGGCTTTGCTGTGGCCCTCTGATCCTGGAGCTCTTGCGGAAATCGCCATGCTAGGCGGCGATGGAGCCAGGCAGCGTGTGCCGGGTCAGGCGCGGACGCCTGCCCGAGGCAGGGTGGGGATTTCCCAAGGTAGGCGCCCCAAAGGCCCAAGTACAAACCCAGCAACTGAGAAGTCAAGAAACTGAGCAACTGAGAAGCCTTCGGTTGGGCGGCTGAGGCCCGGTGGCACTCCGATTTTTTTCATTTGGGATGGGCTGGGGGCGGTGAACGCCTTTCTGGACAGTTTATGTGAATCGCAGCGGGTGTCTGCGACGCATGCCAGGTGCAGCAGGGCCAGCCGCGGCCTGGAATTCATATCAACACTCGGTTGGTGTCCCCCCCAAAGGAAAGACCCACATTGTCTTTGGTAGATTTCTTTTGACAGGGGACAGCACACCTTTTTGGAGGCCCGTTTGTTACACACGAGGGGGTGACTCCTGGCGTCACCGAGGTCCAGACAAGCTTGACTGGCCATGGGATGTCGATGGCAGGCTGGGCTCTCGCCATGATTCGGTCCAAAGGTAGAGGCGATTTTTTGCCCACTGCCATTTGCCTGTGCAGCTAATGTCAATGCAAATCCGGAACAATCTTCCACAGCATGATCTTGATTCAGTCCTTCGGATTCAATCCCTTCTTCCTATTAATAACAATTCCCCTTATAATTAGAAAACCCAGCTGACCCCCAACACTGCCAATACATGTTTCAAATTACCCAGTACTAAACCAATATTCAACTCTCCGAAAGCCAGATCCATTCAGAGAAACCCTCGTCTTGCTCAAAAATTGTATTCTGCGCGCTTTTTCCCTCAAACCAAAGGGCTGGCTTGCTCCTCCTCTTTTTTCTTTCTTTTTAAATAGGGTCTCCATTCGGTTCCCTTCATTAGGGCTTACTCAGAAGAAAGCGCACCTTCCCTGGAGTACTTCAAAGCAGACTGATCCGTGCCCGTCAGGAGCTGTGAGCCACTGGCCTTTTCGAGAGCCTGGGAGCCCGGCTCAGGCTGGACGCGCAGGTGGGTGTTTGCTGCCCGTTTGGAAAAGACCCAAGGGGGGGCCTGTTGTGTATTTGGGACATGTCCGTGTTGGGGGACCCCTGTTAATCTAAGGTGGTTTCGATTCGGGTATTACAAGCCATGAGACTGTCTGCTGGTTCAGCGGTTCCTTTCCCTGGGTTTGGTGTAAGGGGAGAATCGGAAACAAAAGCATGGAAGCTTCCTCGCGGAAACTTCTCTTCAATGGAGCCTTCATTCAAGTTCCATCGTCCACCGCCTCAGTTTTGGGAGGGTAAGTGGCAGGGGTTGGTTCCAGTTGCCTCTCCACCTAGTCAGACTTGCCCTTTGGTCTAAACATCACCTCGAGGGCCAAGAGTTTCCCTTTTCAGTAGGTGGGCTGGGGTCTGTGATTCGTCACGGCAGGAAAGGTCCAGATAAGTGGGGCGGTGTGCGGGCTTTTCTTGTATTGGGAGCAAGCAGACGAGGAGCCCAACTTTTTGTTAACTGTTGAGCGCACTTGCAACAGTTTAGTAACGTGGCCCATGAGAAGTGCAGTCACGTCTGGGCGGACAGTTGCCTTGCCAAGCACACGTGGCGTGCGCGTTGAAGAGCTAAGCTCTTTGCAGGCCCCTCGCCAGGCAAAAGCAAGGAGGTGAACACCGTGGCCACGCTCGACTTTGTTTCTGATTCTGCTCAACAACCTGCTTTGCGCTCGAGGCTCAGTAAAGTCCGCTCTGTTGACAGAATCCTGGACCCGTGGATGAAACCGAATTTACGACCTGGTTGTCTTGAAATCTCACGTGCCGAGGCCGGGAGGGGGGAATTTGCACACACGTCCCTGGACTTCACCGAGTCGACGGACGGGTAATGGGCGCCTTGGCTTGCGGTTTCGTTTAGGAAGGGTGTGTTTGCCAAGGGACCCTGAAAAATGTTTGCCTAGACCTTCAAAGTCCCTGTAAAACGGGGTATTGCCCCAAAGCTATGGGGTGAATTCTTGACACAAGCAAGCGGGATGGGAGGATGGGAGTCGCAGCCTCTTGCGGAAGTCTGACCAATCTTGTGCCAACCGGTTGGCGGTGGGTGGTGTCTTGCTGACATCCCACTTTGCCCCAAGCGATGTTTTGTTCAATCCGTGAATGGGTATGTGCCACGCACCCAACATGCAGCCCCAACCTTCCGTTTGCTGGCAACCAAGCTTTCGCAAACTCCCCACCAGGGGGCATAGGCACTGCAGACTCAAACGACAAGAATCCTAAACTCCATGTGTCCGCATGTGGGTTGGCAATGAACAGCGCTGAGCCGTCGGGTCATGCGTGGTTGGCATCCTCCAGCCAGATCCCAGTTGGTCCCTTAGTTACTAGCAACGCCTCGATGAATTTCAGGATAGTTCGTGGCACGGGCTCATGAGGCCTTTTTTTCTCATCCGGGCTGATAGCCTTCTACGTGACTCCGAGCCATGACTGACAAGGGGGGTCTTTTTGCCACCTTTTGTGAGAAAATTGACGACCCACTCAACAGGGAATGCTGCACTACAAGAGGGTCGATCATTTTTCCACCAAAGGTGGCAACAAGACCCCCTTCAGCAACTTGGTTTCTAGGTGGTTCCCTTGCCTTCGCGTTGGCATGTCCGCCGACGCCTGACAAGGCGTTGGCAGTTTCCGGCACGACCGCCGGGCCCTGGAAGACCTGGCCGGGGGACCGAAAAACCGAAAGACGAGGGGCGGGGGGGGGGGGGGCGGGGGTTCACTGGAAAAAAGTGAAGCACCAACCCCCCAAACAGAAAGGTGCGCTTGTTTCACATGTTTCCTTGTGGGAGGAAAATGCACAAATTCGACAATTCGACCCGACTATTGGATGTCCAAAGCTTGGAAGATTTATCGACCTATCCTATTGGTTGTACAGTTAGTCTAGGGTTTGATTCCCCATTTAGTTTTCTACCATGGTTCTTTCAAAGCCAGTCGTTTTCCCTGTTGTTTCCGGAGGTTTGCTACAAAAGAAGGATCCCTGGAAAGAATGGAAACGGAACTTTGGTGCATTTTGCTTGGATGTTAGGACTTTAACTTTTTGCCAACGAATGGGTTTTCCATTAAACAACGAAAAGTGAAAATTTGGGCAGGGGAGCAGAAAGCAACCGAGGGAAGGTACCCTAGAGTTAGATCAATGAACCACCGAGGACGCTTCGCGCGGCTTGGAGGCTCGAGGCGACGCACCAAACAAACATCGGTCCCGCTTCCTCTCTCTCGCCATGGCCCGTGAGCGATCGCCCCGCAGGTGGCTTGGTTTTACTTGGGATCGCCAGTTCCTGGACCCGAAAGAACTACCCAATTGAAAGGACCCACCAACCACAATTTCGGGGTAATACCCCATCGTTAAGAGAATTGTGAGGGTCCAGGTTGGTGTTTTTTGTGACCCAGCAACGGACTGCTTTTAGGGTAAAGCGTTTCGCAAAAAACCAACAGCTTGCTATCGGGTAAACCCGCTCTTTCATACCCCAGTCACATTTTGCAACAGTTTGTTTGGAGGCTTGGACTGCCCCATTTGACCGTTTCTTTCCTGCATAGTTCTGGGCTCACTTGATGAGCTTGAGCGCTTGTCCTTTTGGGTCCAGGTCGTGACATGGTGTTGCCATGGTGAGCCTTTGCAATTGGTCAGACGAGTGGGGGCACAGGGCACCCTGGTTGCCCCTTTGGAAGGTGGTATTGTCTCAGCTTGGCTTTGACGTTTGTTTGTTTGTTTGTTTGTTTGTTTGTTTGTTTGTTTGTTTGTTTGTTTGTTTGTTTGTTTGGTTGGTTGGTTGGTTGGTTGGGTAGTTGGGTGTTTGTTTGTTTATTTGTTTGTTTGTTTGTTTGTTTGCCTGTTGCTATGTTTGTTTGTTTGAAGCAATGTTGGAGAACTGGACTGTTTCCTTCCAAGCAAGAACACATACGCTAGCGTTGCGCAGTTTTGAACGTTCAAGGCTTTGGTGTCTCTTCAAAAGTTCTACCAGGCCACGAGGATAGCCCAGGGTTTCACAAAGGAGCGCCGGCCAAAACTGCCAATTTGAGCTTGAGAAAGCAACTGACAACTTTTAGACCGGTGTCTTTTGAGGGTAAGTTTTCTTGGGCTGGCTTTGAAGCAAAGGAAGGGAAGCCTGGCTTCTCAGGGATGCCCCCGTGCCCTGCCACGGACAGCTCCCCACCGTCCGTGTCGAGCTGGATTCCACGGTAATCAGGTGTATCCTCTTGGGCCAAAAGTTCCTCCAGCTCGAACGTGATGCTTTGACAATCATCTTCCACATGTCCAAACAAGACTTGGAGGTTGCAGATATGCTCCACTCTTTGTCGAATTTGACCCGTGACTTGATCTTTGTCAGCTTGGGCCATTTCAAAAGCGTGCTCGCAAAAAGAAGAAGCAACAACAACTCGTTTTTTTTGGCTACTGGGGCGTTGTCCAGATATTATCTGGAGTGGTTTGGAGAAGCTGCAGCTACCATTCCAGAAGGGCTTCGGGGGTTGCTGTTGGGAATAGTCTGTGGGCGTTCTTTGTTGGGGGTCGACAACAACCAGATCAGCTGACGGGCATAAATTCATGTTGAGGGGGTCTCAAGAAAATCTAACGAAAGGGCAGTTTTGAGGATGTCACCTGATGGACTCAGTTCATCCAGGGATTACGTGCCGCGGAAGGCCAACCAGTTACAGGGTACCTGTATACTCGCTTGAGGCTGCAGGTGCGAGCCAATGCAAAGCGTATGTTACAGACATATATACTTCCATATGATGTGCATGCATATGTGTAAATATACATATATATATATATATTGTTTTTTGCTGCCAGGGTTTTTTGGTTTTCCTTTCAAACAAAGTTCTCAGCTGAGACATACTACACTGCAAAGCTGTTCTTGTGCGTCGCTTTGAGGCTCGGCACACTGCTAGCGCAAACCATGAAACCAGGCCCTTGAACCCCACCCAAAACCGGGTAGCCAGAAGAGCAACACACCCAGAAAATCCATAGGTGGTTTCCCTTGCTTACCGCCAAGTCATGTCTTTTTGTAGGTTAGTTGAGCAGGGTGTTGTTCCGTTTGACCTACTCATACCCATATGTGGAGCATCCAGGTTTTTTTTCAAGGTGAATGCAGCTCTTGTTGTTGGTCCGAGTTAGCATCGTGGGGCATTTGGAGTACCTGGAATCTCCATGACCCTCAACACATGGGGTCATTACCCAAAATAAAGGGGTCATGGACCCATTTTTAAAGGGCCATGGAGACTCCAGGTGTGCCGTTTCTTTTTCGGGCCGAACATGCTGGAACAAACACCGTGCTTGAGGGTGCCAGCGGCCGAGGACATGGGCGAATTGATGGGAGTCCGGGTACGGAAACCCTCTAAAATTCTCTTTAAGGCCGTTTTTAGTCCAGGTATCAGTGTTCTAGCTCAGAGCGGAAAATTAGAGACTCAGAGCGGAAAAGAGGGAGACTAAGAGCGGAACTCTCGTCCAGGTATGAATTTGACGGGCTCACAATTGGTTGGCGAACTCCCCATGATGTTTAGCCGAACCATCAAGATTGCTACCAGAGATGCGCCCAGACCGGGATGGCTTCAGGCTGTTTGGAAGGAAGTGCCATGTCGGTCCCATCCATGTAGGTTTGTGACGACCACTTCTGTCCAGAACTGGAGTGCCTGCATAACCCACCTGGGCTCCTCCACTTTGCGATGCTTTGGCTCGTTGTCTCCTGTCTTCAGAAAGGCTCATTCCGAGTTTTCAAGATTAATGCCTCCTCCCGAGTAAGGATTGGCTCAATGTAGGTTTCTTCTTGTGAGCCGATATGAGCAACTCGCAATCTTCTTGCCTATTGTTGATTTGGGGAGAGGACGTGGGGGTGACACAATGTACCCTCAAACACCAGCACCACCGGCCCACCCTGTGTCCAATTCCTTCTGGGCGAACAGAGAATGTCGTCCATAGCTCGTGTGAGATACAGTCAAACTATCTAGTCTTCAGTCTACAGTCAGTGTCTGTTTCTGGGGGACCCCCCACAAAATGGTGGTTTTCCTGTTGGTTTCCTTTGAAGGCAACAAACGACATCGATTTGGGGACTCACAATACCCCGCAAAATCGGGAGTCCCCTGTCTCGTCCGGTGACAGTGGGACAGCCCCTTCGCCAGGACCCTGTGCAAGTGCCTCGACAGAGTTGGTGAGCTCATCTTGAGGTATCCTTGCTTTGATCCTTAATAGTGAACCACTTCCAAGATGTTGGTTGGCATGAATCCCCGACCAAAATGATTTTCACCAAAGGCAAGGGTCCCTACTTAAAGTTCACACCCTTACGGCACTGGTAAGCTGGAGCCAAGCTGACCTCCAATACCCAGACCTGCTGAACCAAATTCACCACGCTGGCTTAGAAACAGATTACAAGTAATTCGGACAACAAATTTGGGGGCGAATGACACGGGATCTGCAACAAAGACTGTGCTTCTTTTGTGACGCAACTGGCGGCCAGCATTTTGAACATGGCTGTGCTGCCAGATCTAATGACTGCAGTTGGCAGGCGAGCTTCTCCGTTGTGGACTGGCCGGTATATATATATATACATATTGATCTGTCTATTGGCATGTAGTGCGTATCTAGGCGGCCGCGATTGTCACACAGCGCAGTTGATCTGCAAGTTGCAAGCATGCAGCGGATCTTTCCACAATAGCGGTTGAGCATCATTCAAGGCTGTTTGCGTCAAATGCCATTTGAGCCCACTACGGGTTAACGCACCTCAGATGCAATCTTTCAAACAGCTTCTTCGATGCGGATGCTCCTTTGATATATGCTGCTTGAGACTGCCGTACAGCCGACCTGTGCATGATTCCCATTTTGAGGAATCCGCCTTCGGACCCCCCTGTTGGAGTAAGGGCCTTTTACTGCTGAAGCATGTTGGAACCACATACCATGATTTGGGGATGTCAAAAGTTGGCACCCCTTCGAACTGTTGATTCCACGTTGGATGAATCTAGAAGCGTCCCGCTGGTTTCAACACTTACTGACCAGGGAGATATCTTGGGAACCTGGGTTTACAAAGCATGCCGACGCAAAATGGTTTTGTCTTGATTTTCAATTGAGAGCGCTCTACACGGAGAGTGGACATTCAATGATTGAACGGACCTGAGGGTTGCGACCGCATTTTGCCGAGTCCCTGGTCTGGTCTGCCGTTTTCCGCATCAGGTCACGACGCTGAGGCCCGGCGATGGCAAGACCTTCCCAAAGCAGGGCGACCAGCTGGTGATGAGCCTTGGCTTGGTAGTCAACGATGGTCAACGTTTGGTGCCAAGGCGCATCACCGAAATCTGCGAGCTTGTGGGTAATTTGCTTTTTGCCTTCCAGAATGATGCTGGTAGAGAGTTGGCTTCTGGTACGACCAAGAAACAACGAGACCCCCAGGCCTGTCCTTCCGCAAGCTCAGTCTGGTCCCTGAGACCGCGGGGGGTTGCTGTTGGGGATACCTGGGCTTATTCCTGAGTTGACATCATCCAAGTGAAGGTGGCCTACGGTTCCCAGTGACCACTGGAAGTTTGGGAACTGGTCTCCAACTGATCACTTTTTCTTAGATCGAGTTGAAAAAAGAAAGAAAGTTTGTTGTGCTCCAAGTTGAAGGCCATTGTTGTTTTGGTCTGTCGACACGTGCACCTCACACATGGGTTGGAGCGAGGATCGGAAGGAGTGTTCTTGAGCAGATGCACGCAGAGGCCACGTTGCACGCTACAATTGTGTTATACTAGGCCCCTATTAGACTACAGAGAAAAAAGGTACCCTTATTCTAACCTCTGTACTGGAGGACCAAGTATACGTTTTGTTCTATTGGGTGGTACCAAAAACTCATTTCGATATTTTTCTGTTGCTGACAGTTCTCGGTAGTTGCTCGGAAAACGCACGCCGATGTCAGTTTTTGCAAATCACTTGTTCTGTGGCTCAGCTAGAGCAATCCGCACGCTTTTTTTGAAGACTAACAGTCAAGCACGAGAGAGAGAGAGAGAGAGAGCCTTCAAACTGCTAAAGGGTTGCCAGAAAGTTGTCAGATGTTCATGTGCGGACAGTTTGATCGTTTTGTTGTGGACATTTCTCCAGCGCGCTGGATGCTATCCAGCCTGGACAAGTCCTGATCATGAAAGAATCCAAAGGAGGCCATGCCGCAATCAGAGACCCTAATGGCTTGTTCCTTTTGGGTAGGGTTCCAAGTTGAGTGACCCTTGCTGCTTCCTTTCCAGGCGCTCTTCTTTTTTGGGGCTTCACTTTTGAAGCGGTCCATGTCCTGAGGGGCTTCACTGGTCGACCGGAGTCGGATTTTTCTGAAGCTTTGAGCTGAGGCACTACGCGGGGAGCCTGGACGTCACACATCCCAAGGAAAAGCCTAAGGTCTTCGACTCCTCCTACAGCCGGAACAAGCCTTTCCAGTTCAGGCCGGAGCTGGTTGCAATGGAGTTCAGCTCATTGAATCTCGAGATGATGGGGAAAAACGACTCATGAAGGCTCTTCCTGGGCAGGTTCCACTGCGATTTGGCGTCTGGCGATTTGGTGAAGCAGGCAGCCTGAAACCGGTAGGTTTCCCCGATTGAAATAGCCCTTCATTCTCTCGACCTTTGGCTGTCCCTGTTGCTTACCCTCCACTCAAGATACCCCTGCTTTCCGAGTGTAGGATGTCAATCCCTGACGAGGAAAGGAGGTGTTTACCTTGCACATCCAGGATTTTGCCCAGGCTTTATTCCTTTTCCAGGTTTTTTCCCTTTTCCAGGCTTGTCCAGGCTTCTCCCTAGAGATTTTCTTCCAGGCTTTGTCCCTTTTCTTGGGTGTTCGACCAAGTAAGTTGTTGGTAGCTAGGTTATAACCCACCAAACAGTTTGCTTCAAAGTGAAAATTCACCTTAGGTTCCCCAGCACCTTGGGTTGCAACAGCTCAGGCTACTCAGCACGTCCAAACCGCTTCAGACAGCCAGGATCGGCGTGGGGGAGGTCATCCGCGGCTGGGACGAGGCCATCCTGAAGATGTCGCTGGGCGAAAAGGCGTCGCTGCGGATCGGCTCCCAGAAAGCCTTCGGCCCCCCGGCGAAAAGGCTTCGCTCGGGGAACCCGGAAGGGGCGGATTGGGGCGGAGGAACGTACGGTGGATGGGTTGCGAAGGCGATGGCGGACAGCTCGAGGGGACCCGAAAAGGGGCGGCTTTTGGGGCGGATTTGGGCGGAACGTACGGTGGATGGGTTGCGGTTTTCCGTTTCGCAGAGGAACCAGGGTTGAAACCATTGTTTTTGTTGGTATTTGCAGGGGGGAACACATTTCAGGGTTTCTTAGGCGGTGCCAGGATTTAGTCTGTCCGCAGTAGGATGTCAGGCCCAGTGAGACCAAGGAGACCCCCTTGAAAGTGACAAAGTAGTCTTCTTCGGATGGTACACTGGTATCACAAGGGAGATTTTGCACCTCCCTGACATACAGCTACATGCCCATATAAATACCGTATAGACTATAATATGTATATATATATATATATTCATAGGCACTGTATATCCGCAGATGATTTTTTGATATGTTGTGCATACTATACTGTGCAGGTTTCATACTTTTTTTAATCTCAGAGAACATGAGAGGACGTTTTGAAGGAACGGTCGGAAAAGGGATAGCAGGTAACTTTGACGCCGTATGTGCCATTCTGCGCGCACACCGGGTGTGATGCCGGTCCAAACAAGGAGGATTCCAGGAGGGCACTTGGGATAAGCTAACAAGGTACCACCGGTCAACCTGAAGGCGATTGATATGAGGTGACAGGGGGTGCTGTTAGGGATGCTTGCAACGTTCAGTAGGTAGACGATTCTTTTGGAATAGGCAAGAAGAGTAGCATGCTACGCTTTTGGGACAATAATCTTGTGGGGGTGGATCAAAAGGTTCTTTAAATGGGGTGACCGGGGACAAGCACTACTGTAAACATGTGATATTTGCCACTACATGGGAAAAGTTACCCTTGGTCCTTTGAGGGCCAGGAACATTGATCAACCCCCATGTCTAATTCCGTCACTCAAGTCTGACGCGAGCCGCGCACGGCATCTCAGGAAAGGAAGGCTCCGGCCGTGTCCCGCCCAACTCGGACTTGAGCCTTGCTCCTGCGACTAGCAAGTCTTTGGGCAACACATACAAATCCTGCACCATTTTGAATCTATGACAAACCATCGTTGGTTGATATTTACAGGGGAATCGCATCACTCCATGCAGGGTTTCGCAGGGTGCAGGATATCGTCAATCCACAGTAGGCTCTTTTGGGGGTTTGTAAACAGGGTTTTCTCCAAACATCTTCCGCTGCTTTTTGGGGTACTCGGGGTAGAGCAGGTTGCTTGGTCAGGATTGATGAACACCCAGGGAGGTGAAAGCGATCGACCGATTTCATTTTCTTACCCCTCTTTCTCTGAGGGGTACAGTAGTACATGCCTTTGTTTCAGGTTGAGGTATTCTGAATTACAAGCTCATCCAAGCGGGTCTCACTGCTTACTCCAGTTTGTGAGCCGTTTTGCAGGAACTTCTGTTTACAGATCACCCTACACGCTTGGGAGTTGGCGCTGCTGCACAAACAATTTTGGTTTCCCTTTAGAACCAGAAGCGTGTGCCTGGTTTGGAGGCAGACCCACACCAAGGAATTATGAGGTGGAGCTGCTCAGGATTAACTGAGCTGAGACTTGTGAGCCTCGCTCGCCTGATTTGTCAACCTGTACAGCTGTGAGCAGTGCGTGCAACACGCAGTGCGTAGTTTCGGAAGCGAGCCGCTGAGCGTAGAAAGGCAAAAAAAAACGCACAGCTGAAGATCCAGAAAACGGCTTGAGTTTTGAAGGGACCGCGCGAAAGGCCAACTTGGTCAAGCAGTCAAGCAACTCCAAGGCTTTCGTTGGTCAGACTTGAGAACTCGTTGGGTGGGGAGGCGGGTTTGGAAGGAACGGTTTCGGCAGACCCATTCGTCGCTTCCGCCTCGCCGTCTGTTTGCTTGCCGGTGCTCATTAGGAAATGACCCGGCCGGCCCAGGGATTCCCTTAAAGGAAGCCATACCCTGTGGTTCAACCCCCATGAAAACAAAGGTTGACCCAATTTGAATGATGACCATCCTGAGGTAAACAATGGTGGTTATATGAACCCCCATTGTTTTAATGGTGGTTTGAACCCCAGACCATAGGGGATGGTTTAAATCGTGGTCATTCCAACTCATTCCATGGCGAGGCATCCCACGCCCGCCCAGCGAGGTCACCCGTGCCCGCGCTGAACCGCGCTGAGCTCCGGGCCTGCGGGCCTCTGGGCCTGGAGTGGCAGGCCGGAGCCGTAGCTCACGCGGCCCTTCCCCCCTCGCTTGCGCTCGCTTGCGCCAGCCCACTTGGCCGAGGGCAATTCCCAATCCCCGCGCCCTCACTTGCCTCCCACTTGCCGCGTCGTGGGTTTTGGGAATCAACCGTGGAGCTTGGATTCTGCATGGGTTGAGCAAAAACCAACCCCCGGGTAAACTTCGGAAGCCAGGTGGAGTTGAGGTCCCAGAAATGAGCTTCCGCCAAAAGAGGGTATTGCTGTCCTCCTTTCCCGGTCCCTCTCCTCCAGAGCAATGCATTTTTTTTAAGGAGGGGGCTCACCAAGGCATTTTTGGGGTTTTTGATTCCGAGCCGCGCGCGCAATGGCATCCAGGAGCTTGGCCGAGCGACCCTCTGAGCTACCGGAGCCGGATCCCGGAAGCGGGACTCGGTCCATCGGCCGAGACGGGTGAGCGCTGGACATGCGGCGGACAAATGGAGGGGATCTCATTCTTTCTTGAATCGCCAAGGCGGTGTAGCTTGAGTTTTTGTTGTAGGTGTTGGTGAGTGTGTGTGTGTGTTGCAACTTCCCGAAGCCACCCCATTCAAAACGACAAGCCGTTAACGAAAGACACCCAATGCGCCAGATGTGTTTGTTGGTGGGAAGACAAGCAGACAGACACCGTGTTTGCCTTCAGTGATACGTATTTGCGGGTCAATGTTGCCTCCATTGTGAGGAACAGGGTGGACTGACTGACTGACTGACTGACTGACTGACTGAGTGAGTGAGTGAGCGAGCTAGCGAGTGAGTGAGTGAGCGAGCGAGCGAGTGCAAGAGTGAGTGAGTGAGCGAGCGAGCGAGCGCGCGGGTGAAGAGGGAATGGGTGAGCGAGGGAGCGTGTGAGGGAGTCAGCGAGGGAGCTGATCTTCGAATGTTGCAGGCTTGCCTGTAAATGTTTTTGTGTCCGGCAAACTTTGATGAAGTGGGCACCTTCAGTCAGTTGGCATCTTGCCAAACTTTGCTTCGACAGCGCGGTTTGATACAGTTTTGTTTCCTAGCGTGGATTAAGCGGCGACTTCTATTGGCATCTTTCGAAACAGCGTTGGTTTCCTTGACAAAGCGGTTTTATCTTTGTAATGAGCTCAAGTCTGACTGGCCTGTAACGAGCGAGTTGTTTTATGAATGGTAGTAAAGGGGCAACAGGAGAGTAGACATATCATCAGGCTTCACGGAGGCATATAGCTGCATGTGCGTAGGCGAGGGTAGCCACTTTTTGACAGTCCTCAGTCGGCTAGGGAGCTTCTCGCGTATAGGCTTAGGATCGACTTGGCAGTTTGCCAGAAGGCGCACATACGAGTTTTAGCACACACACACACACAGACACACAGCGTAGGCACTTTGAGAGCAAAACTCCAACCGCGTGGGCGGACGTAGGCGTTTTATGGCTGGCGTGCACCTTGCTTTAGCTGTCCCGCATGGTATTTGCACCATGGCGAATGCGCCAGCGTAGGTATCGGATACGTCACTAGCATTTCCTTCCCAGAAGAAACTCATTGAAATGGGGGTTACCGGGTCTTGCTGGCATGTTCGGAAAATTTGTGTTGTTCAATATTTCAAAAGGGCGGCCATTGTGGTTTGACATTGACACGTTTGCACGGACATGTACGACTCCGTTTACTTTGTGTCACACGCGCTTCGTCCAGGCCATCGGGATTTACCCGGACTTTTTTAGGGAAATGGGAAGCGTTGTTGGATCGCAGACTCAGGGGCCACAGCATACTGTTTGTCGCTTTATCAACCCGTTCCAACAGAGAACCGGAGAACCATACGGAACGCTTCCCTGTTTTTGGAGCCTTCACCGTCTATATAGACAGGTCAATCGATGCAGATGGGTCTTATGGCAAAGCGGCTTGCGTGTGCCAATCAAGAGAGCAGTTCATTTGTTTATTGGTTCATCAGGCAGCAGGCGACTTGCACTTTTTGACCGGCGGGGAGCACCTCGTCCACACATACATATTTCAGTTGAGCTCAGGTCGGTGTACCAGTATTGGTGGCTCAAAGAGAGGGGTGGGTCGCCGCATGCCAAGTGAAGAACTGAAATGAAGCCAAACGAGTTTCTTTCCTTTCCAATCACATGCCTATTGGTGCAAGACATCCTGTCTCGAGTTTTGGGCTGCAAACGCGGGGAGAATCCAGCTGTTCCCCTCATATGAGAGAACCTGGTTTACCTCAGTTGGCGCTCATTGACCAGGGCAGTGAGCCAGTCAGCCAGTTGGACGGAAAATCCAAGTTTCCGAGGGCTCGATGCACCTATGTGCCTGTTTCGCAGGGGTTGTTCGGTAAAGCGTGCTGACCTTCAGGGTCGAAGCACGCGGCTGGTAGCATCTGCGCGAGACAGATTGGCGATGGCCAGCCGCACATTGCCAAGTTATCAAGGTGGCTCGCAAGAGAAATTCATATAGGGAAGGAAAGGTAATTAGAAGATACAAACAAACCATCCAAATAATACAAGGTAAAGAGAAGATGAACCGACATGAAGGTGCCATCAGAATCCTTTTGTAGGAGCTCTTGGGATTCAAGAACCTGTTATCCTTGGCGAGCCACAAATCAAGGGTTAACCGATGGTGGCGAAGAATGGAGTATGACGACCGACATGCTAGGCCCCACTATCCTCCGAAAATGGCCCTTTTGCGGGAAAGTGCCAATGCCGCTCGCAACTTCCAAGTTAGAAATGGGTGGCGCAAAATTCTGACAGAAGAAGTGGTGGCGTGGGGGTCCCAGATTCTGAGGTAAGCTGTACGTTTCTTCGATCTTGGAGAAGCAGGCCTGCCAAGGTATCTTTGCGAGTAGACAGCTAGGCATCTCTGTCGTACGGATACCATCATCCTAAAATGGGGGTACTGGCGGGGAGTGTCCTTGGCGAGATATGTTTGGGCTTGCAGGAGGACCCTCCTGGAGTGTTCGCTGGCATCATAAGAAGCATCATATTGCCTTGACTTGAGCAAAGCACGGAGCCGTTGGCCCCGGCCAGCTTGGCTGTGCCCAGCACTTCGCAGCAAGCTTCAGCTTCAGACTGCTGCTGCGACTGTGGGCGCAGCGGTGCTGGCTTGCGCATGCGCTCACACTTTTTGAATTTGACACCTTGCCTTGCAGCAACTTCCCAACCCTTACGTTGTTCAGGCTGGTGCGCAGTGGAATGTCATAGGATGCGGTCTTCAGAGCTGTCCTTGTCCTGGGCAAGCTTCAGCGGACCTAAAGCAAAGAAGCAGCACGGTGGCGTCAAGTTACCAAGGTAGCTGGGAAGAGGCTGCTTCAAATGGGATATGTTCAGGCCTGCAGGAGGAGGAGTGTTAGATGGTGAGAGGAGCATCACGTTGCCCTGACTTGAGCAAAGCGCCACACCGAGATTCAGCTTCAGACTGCTACTGGGGTTTTCGCAGACAGTGCTCCCACCTTATGAGTTGGATGCCTTGCTTTGCAGCACCGGCAGAGCCAAAACTTCGCAGCAATTCCGCTTTCAAGGCTGCACAACTCAATGATGCAGTCTAGGCCTAGCATTTGCTTCAGTGGCTCGCTTTTCACCAAGGTAGCTCGCAAGAGGTCGCTTGGAATGGGCTATGTTCACCTGGAAACCCATATGTGACGTTTTTTTCTGTCCATACGGCTTGGGCCACAAAAAAATGACCATACGGTTATTTACGGCTTTTTGTCAACAATTTGTTGAAAAAATACGGGTTGCATACGAATACGGCCACCGGCCAGCAAAAACTGACCATACGGGAAAAATGATCCAAATACGGGTTCCGTCCAAAAAAAAACGGCCATACGGCTTTCCAGGCAGGCTTATAGCTTGCAGGAAGAATGTTAGATGGCATCATGAGGGGCATCATTTTGCCTTGAGCAAAGCACAGGTCCGTTGGAAGCAGCCTGCTTGTCTTTGCCCAGAATGCTGCAGGAAGCTTCAGCTTCAGACTGCTTCTGTGGTTCGCACACAGTGCTCACACCTTGTGAGTTGGACTCCTTGCCTTGCAGTGCTGGCAGCGCCGCAACTTCCCAGCCTTTGCGCTTTCAAGGCTGGCCTGTGTTTGGATGTTTGGCCTGAATGATGCAGCCTTGGTCTAGCATTTGCTTCAGTGGCCGGCTTCGCAAGATGGGGCAGTTTGTATCCCTTTGCCTTATCGCTTCTGGCCAGCGGGAAGCAGCACAAGCCTCTGAGCGTGTTTCTGGAAGGAGTGGTTGCTACTGAATTTTGCGCAATCCCAGGACCTGGGGTACTTCACATGCTATTTGTTTTGGAGAGGAAAGGCTACCGAGGCTACCGTTCCAGACACCATGGGAGTGGCTGGGAGTGCGCTTAGGGGATTGCTCAGGCTGGAGTGTCAGAGGGCATAGGCGTGAGG